TCAAAGAACTCACGAAGTCTGCTCCATGATATCAACATTGAGTTCCCACCATAGCGGGGGGGGGGGGGGGGGTGTCACGTCCGTCTATGTCCGCTTGTCTCATAGAATCCAATAAGGACAGGACATAGGCGGACATAGGCGGACATAGGCGGACATAGGCGGACATAGGCGGACATAGACGGACATAGGCGGACATAGGAGGACATAGATCAAAGAACTCACGAAGTCTGCTCCATGATATCAACATTGAGTTCCCACCATAGCGGGGGGGGGGGGGGGGTGTCACGTCCGTCTATGTCCGCTTGTCTCATAGAATCCAATAAGGACAGGACATAGGCGGACATAGGCGGACATAGGCGGACATAGGCGGACATAGGCGGACATAGACGGACATAGGCGGACATAGGAGGACATAGACGGACATAGGCGGACATAGGCGGACATAGGCGGACATTAATGGACACCTAAATTGCTAAATAAAATGTTCAATTTTTGCTGTTATAAGGGATCATGTTTTTTGTCCGTTCGGTACCCTATATTTTCAAAACGGACAAAAATGGACAAAAACGGACAAAAATGGAAATAACATTTAGATGCTTCCTCCTCCTACTCTTCCTGGGTCCTCCTCCTCATCCTTCTCATCAGTCTTCCTCCTCCCCAGTCCTCTCCCAGTCCCCCTCCTTCTCCTCCTCCTATTCAGTCCTCCTCCTCCTCCTCCTCCTCCGTTCTCCTCAGTCCTCCTTCTCATTTCTCCTAAGTCCTCCTCCTGAGTCCTCCCCCTGAGTCCTCCTCCTCTTCCTTCTGAGTCCTCCTCCTGAGTCCTCCTCCTCCTCCCTCTCAGTCATCCCCCTCAGTCATCCTCCTCAGCCATCCTCCCCAGCCATCCTCCTCAGCCATCCTCCTCAGTACTCCTCAGTCCTCCTACTTCTCAGTCATCGTCAGTCCTCCTCCTCAGTCCTCCTCAGTCCTCCTCCTCCTCCTGGGTCCTCCTCCTCCTCCTCCTGGGTCCTCCTGGGTCTTCCTGATCCTACCCAGTCCTCTTCCTCCTCCCCTCCTCAGTCCTCCTCCTACTCTTCCTCCTCGTCCTCAGTCCTCCTCATCAGTCCTCAACAGTTCTCCTCCTCCCCAGTCCTCCTCCTCCTGGGGCCTTTTCCTGGTTCCTCCTCCTGGGTCCTCCTCCTCATTGGTCCTCCTCCTCCTGGGTCCTCCTTCTCCTCCTCAGTTCTTCTCCTCCTCCTCTTCAGTCCTCTTCCTCCTCTTCCTCCTCCTCCTCCCTCTCAGTCATCCTCCTCAGCCATCCTCCTCAGCCATCCTCCTCAGCCATCCTCCTCAGTCCTCCTCCTTCTCAGTCCTCCTCCTGAGTCCTCCTCCTCCTCAGTCATCCTCCTCAATTCTCCTCCTCCTCCTCCTAGGTCCTCCTTCTGGGTCCTCCTCCTCCTCCTCCTCCTCCTGGGTCTTCCTGATCCTTCTCCTCCCTCTCAGTCATCCTCCTCAGTCATCCTCCTCAGCCATCCTCCTCAGCCGTCCTTCTCAGCCATCCTCCCCAGTACTCTTCAGTACTCTTCAGTACTCTTCAGTCCTCAAAATGTTTGTCGGCTAATGTCCACCAATGTCCGCTAATGTCCACCAATGTCCATAAGTCCTCAACAGTCCTCCTCCCCAGTCCTCCTCCTCCTCCTGAGTCCTCCTCTTGGGTCCTCCTCCTGGGTCCTCCTCCTCCTCTTCATCCTCCTCCTCTTCCTCCTTAGTCCTCAGTCCTCCTCCTCATCCTTCTAATTCTCCTCAGTCCTCCATCCTCCTCCTCAGTCCTCCCCCAGTCCCCCTCATCCTCCTCCTATTCAGTCCTCCTCCTCCTCCTCCTCCTTCTCAGTCCTCCTCAGTCCTCCTCATCCTCCTCCTCCTCTTCCCTCTCAGTCATCCTCCTCAGCCATCCTCCTCAGTCCTCCTCAGTCCTCCTCAGTCCTCCTCCTCAGTCCTCCTCCTCCTGGGTCCTCCTCCTCCTCTTCATCCTCTTCATCCTCCTCCTCTTCCTCCTCGGTCCTCAGTCCTCCTCCTCCTGGGTCCTCCTCCTCATCCTTCTCATCAGTCCTCCTCCTCCCCAGTCCTCTCCCAGTCCCCCTCCTTCTCCTCCTCCTATTCAGTCCTCCTCCTCTTCCTCCTCCTCAGTTCTCCTCAGTCCTCCTTCTCATTTCTCCTAAGTCCTCCTCCTGAGTCCTCCTCCTCTTCCTTCTGAGTCCTCCTCCTGAGTCCTCCTCCTCCTCCCTCTCAGTCATCCTCCTCAGTCATCCTCCTCAGCCATCCTCCTCAGTACTCCTCAGTCCTCCTCCTTCTCAGTCATCGTCAGTCCTCCTCCTCAGTCCTCCTCAGTCCTCCTCCTCCTCCTGGGTCCTCCTCCTCCTCCTCCTCCTGGGTCCTCCTGGGTCTTCCTGATCCTCCCCAGTCCTCTTCCTCCTCCCCTCCTCAGTCCTCCTCCTCCTCGTCCTCAGTCCTCCTCATCAGTCCTCAACAGTTCTCCACCTCCCCAGTCCTCCTCCTCCTCCTGGGGCCTTTTCCTGGGTCCTCCTCCTGGGTTCTCCTCCTCCTGAGTCCTCCTCCTCCTGGGTCCTCCTTCTCCTCCTCAGTCCTTCTCCTCCTCCTCCTCAGTCCTCTTCCTCCTCTTCCTCCTCCTCCTTCCTTTCAGTCATCCTCCTCAGCCATCCTGCTCAGCCATCCTCCTCAGTCCTCCTCCTTCTCAGTCCTCCTCCTGATTCCTCCTCCTCCTCAGTCATCCTCCTCAGTTCTCCTCCTCCTCCTCCTAGGTCCTCCTCCTGGGTCTTCCTGATCCTTCTCCTCCCTCTCAGTCATCCTCCTCAGTCATCCTCCTCAGTCATCCTCCTAAGCCATCCTCCTCAGCCATCCTTCTCAGCCATCCTCCTCAGTACTCTTCAGTACTCTTCAGTACTCTTCAGTCCTCAAAATGTTTGTCCGCTAATGTCCACCAATGTCCGCTAATGTCCACCAATGTCCAATGTCCATCCAAGTCCGCCAATGTCCGTCCGGGTCCGCCAATGTCCGTCCGAGTCCGCCAATGTCCGCCAATGTCCGTCCGAGTCCGCCAATGTCCGTCCGAGTCCGCCAATGTCCGTCCGTGTCCCAAAAAACACGTCCGTTGTCTCATAGAATCCAAAAAGGACAGGACATAGGCGGACATAGACGGACATGACACCCCCCCCATAGCCTTGGTTTTTGATGTTGTGGAAAGGGTGTCTTTCAAGAAGCTCACTCATTTTGTTCCTTTTATCTGCTTGTACATCAGGACAGTCGGTAAGCAGGTGAAGTGAATTTTGAGCCCCTCGCCTACAATCACACAGTGGAGAATCAAATTTACTGCTTTTGAAGCGGTGTAGAAATTCATTCATTATGTTGTTCGGATAGAACAAGCTTAGAAACAAGGTTTCAAGTTGCCTTGATGTTTTGGGCGGAAACTTGAGCTTTGTGGCGCTCACTGTAGGTGCCTCTGTATACCCTTCCAGCTGGTACTGGCTGTTTATGGACGATTGCCAAAGCTGTTCACTGTAATGTTTCATCACTGATTTACTGTAGCTGCATCCTTTTATTGATAGACTGGGGAGTTTTTCTAGATCAGCAGTTAATTAACTGTTCACTAAATGCTTGTAAGCATTTGATTGTTAGTCTTGATTTAATGCACAATATTATTGTATTGATCCTATGATTTCCAATTTGCAGATTTGAAGAGAAACAGGAAATGAACCCTGCCTACTAATATTCTGGCTTCCCTAGAAATGATGTGAGTATAAACTGTGTTCCTGTCGTTTGAAATATGTCATAAGATTATGTCCTTGATTAGTAAGGAATACAAATTTGAATTTTGATCTTTATTACAGATTAAACATTATCATAGATAACCATAAAAGCTGCGCGTTGGTTGATTGCCTCAACTTCGATTAACAATAATTTCAATCGTCAGAAGCTGAAGGATGGCAGCTCAAAAGGCCCAGTGCACCATCGACAAGATCAAGGACTCGAGTGCCAATAATGGCTTTTCCGAACTCCTTTTTGCCAATTGGCCCAGTGGTCCTAGTGAGCCGCACCCTACTGCTAAACGGCACATGATGGTTTGTGTTTTAATACTTATTAATTTAAACGATTATTCAGTTGATGGTTATCAGGTTATAAATTATAGGTCATATTTCTTTTCTTTTTAATAATCACGGCTCGACCATTCAGTCATACTACAGTGTTGAGGCAACCAGCTGAACCGTAATTCAATAATACCTACAAATAAATGTAAATTAATCGAAATTCATAATTCATCGTCATAAAATATAATCAATAATATTCTATTAACAAGATAATTTTATTCTTTTCCAACACTACTGCACAACAAACGCCTGCCAATCATGTGATCAAAACATCCTGTTTTCATTCATTTAACAGATCTTTACCTCAATCTCCATAGTTTATCCTCAAGCACTTTTGCCTGGAACGGACACTGAAAAGGCAAAGAAAGGTTACACTGTTAAACATAATTTTTACCACTGAGATGGATAATGATGGAATTTAAGGTCCATGTTTTGATGACAACTACATCAGTCGAATTAAAAAGTGTATGTATTTTTGTTTTTTATCTCTCTACCCAGTGATTTACTGGTGCTGTTTGAACCAACTAAAACCAGGACAGAATCAGAATATCTCAGACTAAGTTCAGAACATTTAATGAACTGTGAATTATATGATGTATTGTGTATACTACTACCTTACTACTTAAATTATTTTAGATTGCCTCCTATTATTTCCCCCTTGAGATCATATATCAGTATATTATTTCCTCTTATCTCATCCATATCACGTGAGGATAATTCCTTGTGCTAGTCTCACCTCGTGAATATCTTATAATCTTTTTATTACTAAAATGCTCAAAATTATTAGTCTTATAATTTACTGACTGTCATTGATTAATTGTTATTCATAACATTATCATGAAACTTTCCATTAGGACATTTATGTTAATTCTTGTGGCAGTGTTCGATTGAGGTTGAATAATGTGCAATATTCTCACCTGATAGGTCACCATGATATTTGTATCGAAGTAAGTAAGTTTCTGTGATCGATGATTGCTTATTGCAAGCTTGGTTTTTAATTTTTGGAACCAGAATTAATGACACAATAAAACACCATTTTTGTTTGCTGAGGAAAATATCAATTGTGCATTGCGAAAATAATAATTTTTGATTCCTAATTCTGATTTTCAATCTTTATAATGACCGAAGAGTAGGATAACATCTTCCAGTATCTTCCGATAATTAAATATCTTAAAACTCTGACAATGTCCATACCACCATTTCTTAAACTGATTCTCCTAAATTTATTCGAACTTTCCCTTATCGTTTATTATATACAGTTTTTAATGTTAGAACTGCTTAAAACTGCTTATCTCCTCAGTACGATACTATAATTGTTAATTTTCAGATTATTGCTAATACTGCTGTTCAGCTGTTGCATGTGTGGTAAGTACCTGCTGTGTTTCAAATAAAAACTTTTCAATTGGTAAAAATAAATATAGTCGAAAATATTTACTGAATTAATTTCCTTTTCCCTAAAACAGGATTCATAGCCAAACTGATGTAAATATTTATATTTTTTACTGTGCATCTCCTTTTATCATTGCCTTCCCTAAAAAGGAAATGGAAATTTAACTCAATATTAGGCAAAATTTAAACAGCCATGCATACCATGTCATTAAACTTTGAATTCTAAGCGGAGACTTACTGGTTTATTCTGTTAAAGGAAGCGTTGTTTTCAGGACCTGATATATTCAAGTTCACATCACAACCTGTGTCACAACCTGTTAATCCTGGTGGAACTGTTACTCTGTCCTGTGTAGCTACTGGTAGAACTGGTATAACATACTCCTGGTACAAGCTAGGTACAGATTTCAGGACCCCTCCAGATACTAACCAGATTAGTGGAGCTACAGGAACAGAGTATGTAGTAAACGCAGCTGATGTTGATGAGAGTGGAGAGGATAATTTGTTCCAGTGTAAAGCTACTTATGGAGACGATATTATTCTCAGTGATGTTGCAACAGTCAAATATACCTTGACAGGTAAGTAAATGGGAAAGCGCTTAGTCTTCATTCTTATTGAAATAGTTCAAATTAACTCATTAATATATTATATCAAATATCTTTTGAAGTAAATTGAGAACAAAGTCAGTTGGTTTAATTTTTTTAAATGAGATCAGTGTTTTGTAAAAATGCTGAGTTATATCGAAATACCTGTAAGGGTACAACTTCAACTTATTACTTATTATTTCTTTTCTATCAGACAATATCGAATACGATAGTACTGGAAAGAGCTACATAGACCAGGTGGTAACAACACCAGATGATGAAGGTGAAGAAGGGGTTTATTTATTCAGGTTACAATGTAATCCAAACGAAGACGATTTTGATAACTCTATAACAAATGGAGAACCTTACGATGTACAGTGGTTTAAAGAAGGAGAATCTGGTAGAGTGGAGGAAAACCATGATAATATGTGGACTTACTACAATCCAACTACGTTTAGTGATTATAAAGTCGAATTTGCTGGGGATTATGAAGCCAGACTGAGTACAGTTGATCGTTATGATCTGGTAATTGTTAGTGTACGAACAAGTGATAAAGGGACATATTTGTGTAAGGCAGTGTCTAGAGTCAACAAACAAGAAGTTCTCTTGGGGTCAACAGTCCTTAAAGTTCCTATAGGTAGGTGAAGTGCTACATGGAACCAATCTATAATTCTATACTCTAGGATTGCAATTGATAAAACATAATATATAATTGGAGTTAAGTGTGTAACGAAATGTTTATAATCCAATTAGTTCAGAACGTCTAATGAATATTGACAATACTAGACCTTAGTGAAGGGTATAAATTAAAATGGTTTGTAAAATTACAGTTTATATTCTTTCAGAGAGGGATTTTTCGGTAAAGCCACTTGATATAATTACTGGATACATGGTGCTTTCTGTAGATGATACTGGGAAGCTCAAATCTAACCCCAATGTTGGTGATAAGGTGTTACTGATGTGTGGAGTTGCATGCAGAACCTCCGGTGGTAGCTACGATGCTCAATACCAGTGGAAAGACAGCATAAACAAAGTTATAGCAAATACAAGGGAACACATTGTTACAGTCGACTCTGATGGCACAGCTACTTTCATGTGTGAGATTCTTGATTCGGAGTGTAATTCTGATGTCTCGTCGGAGGATGTCACGTTTAATAGCAATGGTAAGTAAAAGTAGTTAATTACTAATGAATCAAATGTATTCACTTTTCATCACATTTAATAAATATTTAATCTCCAACTAATTATGAGGTCTGTTTCGATTTTTAATTTCAAAAGTGGAAAGACTATTATAAGGTCATGAACTGGTATAAGTATGACATTGTTAATTTCTAATTATTTTCCAGCTGCTGAGATTAACCCAATGCTCCAGCTCACATTGTCAAAGTCTCCTCCTGAGTACATGTGGTATGATACCTTTGATAGTACAAAATCGCACCCTTCATTCGAAATAGGATGTGAAGGGTCACTTGGATCGGAAAAGTTGTATAATGCAGTGTATAAAATGCCGAAACTGGTTACTAGTTCTTCAGCCACGGAAGTATATGATTTCGGCTCAAGTATTACATCTGATAAAAGTGGAGTGTATCAATGTGGAATGTTTAATGATCCAAACAGAGTGTTGTGGTATCAGAAGACGACAAACGTTGTTATTGCTGGTAAGAACTCTGGTAGAAATCAAAACAGTTATTATTTAAGAAGACCAGTTCTGATATAATATGTTGATAATATTATTTAACGTGATAATGCCAAACTTCAAACCCAAAATAAAATCATTGCAGCTCGACCTACTGCTGCGATCACTCCAACAACTGTTAGTGTACAAAGTGATACTGCAGCTACAATTACATGTACTGTGAGTGGATATCCTATAGAATCTGTGACTATCAGTGGACCGAACTCTCTGAGTTTTGATTGTTTGACTTCAAGCTCTAGTGGGGATGTTACATGCAGTTCTAATGATAAGATAAACTATGTGGTTAATGTAAATAACTTCAAACTGGAAGATGCAGGGGATTACAAATGCGCTGTCGAAACAAAGTGGTATAAAAGCACTACTGCTAGTGCATCAGCTATAGTGAACTCAGCTTTTGACGACGTTACCTTATCATACGGTAACAGTTATTCTGTTTGTAGCTACTTTAGTAGCCTAGTAGGAGCAACTATGTTTTTCAAATTAAATAATATCATTTAAAGCAACAATTTTTGTTGTAGATTGAGAAAATATTAAATTCCATTCTTATCATCAGATAAAAATGCGGTTAATTAAAATAGTCTTTATATTGTTTTGTCAAATTTGATACCTGCATTGAATGTTAATCCCAAATTATACCCAATGTCTCATTTCTCAATAGTCAATAGTAATATGTTTCTATTATCAGGACCTGATATATTCAAGTTCACATCACAACCTGTGTCACAAACTGTTAATTCTGGTGGATCTGTTACTCTGTCCTGTGTAGCTATTGGAAGAACTGGCATAACATACTCCTGGTACAAGCTAGGTACAGCTTTCAACACACCTCCTGGTAACACAGACCTGATTAGTGGAGCTACAGGAACAGAGTATGAAGTAGACGCAGCTGATGTTGATGAGAGTGGAGAGGATAATTTGTTCCAGTGTAAAGCTACTTATGGAGACGATATTATTCTCAGTGATGTTGCAACAGTCAAATATACCTTGCCAGGTAAATAAATGGGAGAGTGCTCAGTCTGCATTCTTTTTGAAATAGTTCAAATTACCACATTAATATAATTATAAGTAAATTAGGAACATTGCTAGTTGGTTTAAAATTGAGAATGAGGCAATAAATTTGATGATTCATTATCGTATGTAATCAGTATTTTGTAAAAATGCTGAGTTATATCGAAACTCCTGTAAGGGTACAACTTTAATTTGTAACTTATCATTTCTTTTCTATCAGACAATATTGAATACGATAGTACTGGAAAGAGCTACTTAGACCAGGTGGTAACAACATCAGATGATGAACTTGAAGAAGGGGTTTATTTATTCAGGTTACAATGTAATCCAAACGAAGATGATTTTGATACGTCTATAGTTAATGGAGAACCTTACGATGTACAGTGGTTTAAAGAAGGAGAATCGGGTAGAGTGGAGGATAACCATGATAATATGTGGACTTACTACAACCCCACTCATTTTGACAGTTATGAATTTGAAATTGCTGGGGATTATGAAATGAGACTGAGCACAGTTGATCGTTATGATCTGATAATTGTTAGTGTACGAACAAGTGATAAAGGGAAATATTCATGTAAGGCAGTGTCTAGAGTCAACAAACAAGAAGTTCTCTTGGGGTCAACAGTCCTTAAAGTTTCTATAGGTAGGTGAAGTGCTACATGGAACCAATCTATAACTCAATTTCCACAGTCTATGTAGGGTCCTAGGATTGTAATTAATAAAACTTAAAATACAATCAGAGTTTAGTGAGTTGTTAAATTTGTATAATTCAATTAGTCCAGAACATCCAATGAACACTGACAATATTAGACCTTAGTGAAGGTTATAAATTAAAATGATTTGTTAAATTATTGTCAATATTCTTTCAGAGAGGGATTATTCGGTCAAGCCACTAGATATAATAACTGGATACATGGTGCTTTCTGTAGATGATACTGGGAAGCTCAAATCTAACCCCAATGTTGGTGACAAGGTGTTACTGATGTGTGGAGCTGCATGTAGGACGTCCGGTGGTAGCTACGATGCTCAATACCAGTGGAAAGACAGCATAAAAAACCTTATAGCAGACACAAGGGAACATATTGTTACAATCGACTCTGTTGGCACAGCTACTTTTACGTGTGAGATTCTTGATTCAGAGTGTAATTCTGATGTCTCGTCGGAGGATGTCAAATTAATTAGCTATCGTAAGTAAAAGTTGTTAATTAGTGATAAATCAAATGTATCCACCAGCCACCTTTCATCAAATTTCTAAAATAGCTGAATGTGGGGTCTATATAATAATGTGGTCTGTTTCGATTTGAATTTTTAAAGTGGAAAGACTATTATAAGATCATGAACTGGTATGAGTATGACATTGTTAATTTCTAATTAATTTTCAGTTGCTAAGATTAACCCTATGCTCCTATTCAAATTCTCAAAGTCTCCTCCTGACTACATGTGGTATGACACCTCTGATAACACGAAGTCTCACACTAAGTTCGAAATAGGATGTGAGGGGTCGCTAAGTTCTGGAAACACTGTGTTTTTTAGTACAGTGTATAAAATGCCCGATCAATTGACTGGTAAATCAGCCACTGAAGTATATGATTTCGGCCCAAGTATTACATCTGATAAAAGTGGAGTGTATGAATGTGGGATGTCTAATACTCCAAACAAAGTGTTGTGGTATCAGAAGACGACAAACGTTGTCATTGCTGGTAAGTTTCACGATAGAAAGTAACTTTAGAATGCCAGTTCTGATATATTATGATGATAAGTCGTATGTTATAGTTAGTGATGCTAACATCGGTACAATCTATGTATTGTACTATTATAAAGTTTTTAAAGAATAATCATATTGATATTTGATGCTGACTAATAATATCATTAAACGTGTTTTAAGGATAATTGTTTTTTTGCTGATTTGATTTCGGTTGAAATCAAATCGGTTATCATTAAAGAAGACAAGTTCTGATATATTGATAATATTATTTAACGTGTTGATGCCAAATTTCAAACCCAAAATAAAATCATTGCAGCCCGACCTACTGCAGCAATCACTCCAACAACTGTTACTGTACAAGGCGATACTACAGCTACAATTACATGTACTGTGGGTGGATATCCTATAGAATCTGTAACTATCAGTGGACCAAACTTTCTGAGTTTTGATTGTTTGACTTCAAGCTCTAGTGGGGATGTTACATGCAGTTCTAATGATAAGATAAACTATGTGGTTAATGTAAATAACTTTAAGTTGGAATATGCAGGAGATTACAAATGCACTGTCGGAACTAAATGGTATAAAATCACTACTGATAGTGCATCAGCTATAGTGAACTCAGCTTTTGACGACGTTACCTTATCATACGGTAATAATTATTCTGTTTGTAGCTACTTTAGTAGGAGCAACTATGTTTTCCAAATTAAATAAGATCATTTAAAGCAACAACTTTTGTTGTAGATTGAGAAAATATTAAATTCCCTAAGGGAGGTGACCGGGACATGATTTTAGGCCTGACCGGGACCGGGACCGGGATACAAAATGTGACTTGACCGGGACCGGGACCGGGACCGGGACTGAGATTATCAATTTACCGTGACCGGGACCGGGACCGGGACCAATAATTTCTGGGATTTCTATCTTACCGGGACCGGGACCGGGACCGGGACCAACAATCCAATTTTACCGGGATGACCGGGATGACCGGGATTTGACCGGGATGACCGGGATTTGACCGGGATGACCGGGATTTGACCGGGATGACCGGGACCAAAACTGGTATTCTCATATTGAAAGCTGCAACTTTCATTTACATTATAATTGAAAAAAAAAAACCGTCAATATGGGGCATGGGCCTAATGTACTACACCAATAATGTTCATGTACTGATTACTCAAGTTCACCCTCATTCCTCATTCCTCGATCAATGATCCCTCAAATTATTCAACAGTTTCATTCTCCAATTCCAATTGACAATTGGGCGTAGCCCGAGTTGAAAACTTGATGTTAGTTTGCACTTATGAGTTATGTAACGATATTAGTTACCTAAACTAGTAAACTTGTTTAGCAATTTTAAACATTGTTTTATTTGGCTCAGAGGTTGTTTAAAGATGAAATTCACAATGAATGAAAGTAAAAACTTAAAATCACAGTGAATGAAATTATGTAAAAGATCCCGGTCAAAATCCCGGCAAATTTGAGTGATTGACCGGGACCGGGACCGGGACTGGGACCAAGAATCCTGAATTAACCGGGACCGGGATCATAAATCAGCATTTGACCGGGACCGCGACCGGGATGAAAAATTTGACTTGACCCGGTTGACCGGGACCGGGACCGGGACCGGGATAGCTGAAAATTGCCAATCCCGGTAACCTCCTGATTCCCTTAATTCTTCACCTACTTGACTCACACTCTTGTTCATTTCAGAAAGTACAACAGAACTTACAGCTAGCGATAACCCTGCTAATAAAGGAAGTTCAGTCACGCTAACCTGCGTTGTTAAAGGAGACCCTGAACCCAGTGAACCTGTATTAACAAAAACAGTCGACAGTTCAGCTTCAACTATTGCGATGACCTGCTCTGGAACTACTACTAAAACTTGCAAAAAAGTCTTTTCCGCTGCATCATACACGGATTCTGGATTGTATACATGCAATGGGAAAAACGTTATCAATACAGTTAATAAACTATCTTCTGATTCGGTCAGCTTGAAAATAGGTAAGCAAATTGTGAGATAGGATTCATATCTTAACTTCCGTTTTATTTTAAACCATGTAAAATACAATTTCCTCCGGTTGTCGACAAATAATGTTGCCTAGTTATAGATTCAACTTTGATTCATGGTTATTACTAAAACTACGTCTTTTACAGTGGGAAATGCAGACGCCACATTAACTCAGGCACCAGTCGAATCAGAACTTCTAAAAGGATCCTCTGTCACTTTCACATGCAAAGTAGAAGGAAATCCTCTACCAACGAAACTTATCTTCAAAAAGGGGACTCAGGTCTTAAAATCTTATCCCAGTGGCAGTGACACCGATGTAGACAAAGAAACTTACCACATCTCGTACGAGAACACATTTAATCCTCTGGAATTGCTTAACACTGGCGACTATTCTTGTGAAGGAGAAAATGACAACGGTGGCACACAACCGGATATTGACACCAAAACTCTGACTGTAGTGTCTGATGTAACTGTCTCCCTCTCAGCCAGTACTGATAAACCATCTTTTGGGGATGCATTTACTATAACCTGTACAGCAACTGGAGGTAATTTATAAGAGTGCATGAAACTAAAAATTCTGTTTCAACAGTTTTTTCAACAGTTGTTTCAAACCATAGGATTATAAATGGAATTTAATTGCTTTTTACTTATTCCTTGATGCTTTACAGGAAGAAAACCCCACAGTGTTACTCTCGTACATGAAGGTACTGCAATCTCTACTGGAGCGTTCCCCTGTACTGATGACGGAGACTATTCCAAGAAATGCACATATACACACACTGTTAACGGTACATTAAACGCTGTTGAAACACTTACTTGCTAGATAAGGACATTTTTGTATGCAAGAAATGTCCTATTTTATAGATCTTTAGAACAGTTATCAGTGGTAAATATATCATAAAGGTAAGGACCGTTAAACTGTAAATCAAATCCTTTTTAAAATGATGAAACCTGATGCAAAACTTCAGATTACTCCGCTGGAGGTACATACACTTGCACTGGATTGAACAAAGTAGCGGGAAATGCAGTGCGAACAGATTCCAAATCTGTTAAAATATTTGTATCTAAGACTGTTGTTGTGTCCCTTACTCCTGCAAGGTTAGAACTTATTGAACTGCATTGTCATGATACTAGTCGTTTAGTTTAAAAATTAACTCGTGCGAGTTAGATGTGTAGTCTTTAGTCAACTATCAAGCTACAAAACAGATACTGACATACGCCGCCAATATCTGCTGTAACCCAGACAAAACTGATGTTTTTAAAGTAGCACTGGATAGACTGATCCTTTTTGCAGTGAAACAGAAATAACCTATGGGTCTGCATACACTATTACATGTAATGTCGAAGGAGGCGATAAACCTCACAAAGTAACTCTCAATATTCCGGACAGTAGCACCAACTTGACTTGGCAGCGAGGCAGGTAAAGGAAAAAATATTGATTTAACTTCCGCTAATCCGAAATAAAATCATCCAATTTACACTAGTGGAATGTTTTTCATATCAGAGCTTCAGAGTATACTAAAAAGACTGAAATACCCTTCAAAAATACACAATTTCAGTTCAGGAAATTCATTGATGTGTACTGGAGAATTTAATCTAGTTTGCAAGTATGAGATGTCCAGTCCAGTCTATTCCAACGAAGGTTTGATATAACTGAACATTCAAGAACTATCTTTGCTGTTCGATTAGATGCGAATCAATTTAGCACTGTTTGTAATAATAATTTTTATTGAAGGTATGTCATCTTATACAATCCCACTTATTAATAGATCTTGTTTATCATACACTTGTAATTTTATGTGGAAACTTACTGGTTATATTGATTGCAGGGCAGTACAGTTGCACCGGTTTTAATAAACTCCCTGGTGAAACCAATGAGAGGAGTAGTTTGGCGACTGGGTCGTTAGTTGTTGTTAAAAACGTGGAGTTGCAGCTAACAGATACTATAACATCGAATTTAGACGAAGTTTATTATGGAAACGAATTCAAAATAACTTGTGTCGCAGAAGGTGGCAGGATTCCATTCTATCTTGAGCTAATTCAGACTCCTTTCGGCAGTTCAACGCCTAAAGACCTTGTTTTATATGACACCACAGCATCAAAGACTCCAGACTCTGTTACAGTGGATATTGGTGGAAATACCTTAACGTATGTTAGCAGTGTTACAAGCTCCGGTTATGATGATATTGGAACCTACAAGTGTTTATCCAAGAATAAAGCTGATTTGATGGCAGAACAAGACGCTGAAGATGAGCTGGACATCATAGTGGGTTGGTGTGGTGTGATCCGGAAATTAATGTTATTTTTTATGATCGTAAATAGTAAGAATTAACGTTGAAGATTATTAATATCTCAAAGTTACTGAAAACATTCGTTGTTAATGAAAACGGCTGTTTGTCAATAATCCCCTAAGATTAAGACGAATTTTTTAAAAGTGCTGTCGTTGGTAAGGAGATAGCCCGGTCAACAACAGCTGTGTCTGTCTGATTATTCTGATACATGTTTAGTTTAAAATCACCCACGATTATTGTCAGTGTTGTGACCTGTCAGGGTTTGTCAGCATACCTTTTGATTGGGTAATCGATAATTTGATGATTAAGATTGTTCTGCCTCTACTTTTTGGCACAAAGAAAAAGAATTCATACCCAGCTATGAAATTTTCTAACTGAACACTTTGATTGGCTCTGAAAATTTTGATTGGCTCTGAAAAATTTTAAAAAAAGTTGAAATAATAGTATTCAAAAAAGTTGAAATCATAGTATTCACTTATGAAAGATATGTTAAATCTGTAATTCAAATTGTCTATTTAAATGCAAATAAATATTGTAGAGCTGATAGTGAACTTTAATCTGCATACTGACACTGCTAGACTGCTATTATTAAATTGGTACCGCTGAAATATAGAATAAGATGACGGTTTAGGTGCTTGCATGTATTTTTTCTTTTTGGGACATTTGTCATCCTTTGCTTGATTTTGCGTAATTCTGTTATTTTTCGAGACTTTTTATTGGGTGATGTACCGTGCCCCATAATAATCGTTTTATGAACGTGAAAATTTGACAAAGTATTTTATGTATATAATTGTGATCTTTGATTTATTTTTCTTGTTTGTTTACTTTAATATGAATATTGAATCAAAATTCTCGAATCTGTTCATCATTATGATTCTAATGATTTAAGTATAATATGTTTCAATACGGCGAGAAAAAAAGTCAGCCCATGAAGAAAATAGTTTATTATGATTAAATCTTTCAGTCAGAAACGTGAAGATTGATCAGATAGACAATATCAAAGTTGATTTTGGAACCTCATTGGTTTATAACTTTCAACTTAATGGTGGTCGGTCACCACACTTGGTGAAGTTGGACAGTGAAAGTATCAACATTTTTGACTGGAAAGGTGATTCAAACGTGTGCACTGGGACCAATACACTGACGTGCACAAAAACGATTGGAGCAAATGATGTAAATTGGGCCTATGATGGGACTTTTACGGTTACTGCCGAAAACAGAGCAATGAACAATGATGTAATGACTGATACTATGGCATTTTCTGTCACAGTGTACAAAGATGTCGTGGCTACAATCACACCCAGTTAGTTGATATTATTACTTTTATTCTCTAATCTGTAATTTAAGTTCATTTTGCGTGGTCTCAGTCCCAAAGGATGAATCTTCGAATGATAAGTATTTCATATGAGTATAATTGCGGGATGGGGGGGGGGGGGGGGTTGCCACGTTCGTGTATGTCCGCTTGTCTCATATAATCCAAAAAGGACAGGGCAGGACAGGATATAGGCGGACATAGACGAACATCGGCGGCCATAAACGGACTTAGTCGGACATAGGCGGACAAAAGTGGACAACAAAATTTGCTTAATTTTGATAAATTTTGTTAAAATTTGCTAAAATTTGTTAAAATCTTCTAATGAGGCAGGGTGATATTTTTTCAAAAAGTCGCATTTTATGTGGTTCACCCTATAGATCCTGTTTTAAAGGTATTTTGAAGTACGAAGTGAGATGTCAAGAAATGTTGAACTTGGACACAAGATCTAGAAATACATGCGCTACATCGGTATCATGTGATCTACAAACACATGGAGCGGTTCTGGCCATTGCCCCCCATAAAATCTGGGCAAGGGGTCAAAAAGGACCAACTTTTTTATTAAGGTAAAAAAATTTTAAGAAAAAACTCGGGCCGAAAATTTTGTGAGTCAAATATTTTTTCGGTTCTCGAAGTCCGGACCTACCCTACGATATAAGATTGTGGACTCGAGAAGCTGGAGCCCTGCCTTCAGGCTTCAGAGGTACGTATCGAGAATGGCTCGGACCGAACATTTTCTAAGTAAAAGTTTAATTCAAAGTTTTTCTTGAAACTATTTTTGTTCACGATTCATGCTAGCTACCCTGATCATTATTAGCCAAAAATATTTGTTCGATTTTCGAAATCCGGAGTCCGGAACTACCCTTCGATGTACGATTTTTGGACTCGAGGGTTTCCTCTTGTAATGCGATCCCTGAAGGCAGGCCTCCCTTTTGCAGTGCGAGCTCGGAAGCGGGAGCCCTGCCTTCAGAGGTACGTATCGAGGATGACTCCGCTAATATCCCAAAAACACGACCGTTTGTCTCATAGAATCCAAAAAGGGCAAGACATAGGCGGACATTAGCGGACATGTCACCCCCTCCCCCCCTCCCCCCCCCCCCCCCCCCCCTTGCTCTTTCAAATTGTTTCAAACTCTGCTATGACATTAATGAATGGTGATAACTTTAAACAATCAAAACAAGGTTCAGAAGAAACCATTACTTACCACGAGGATAAAACCATCACCTGTAAAGTTGAAGGTGGGCTGTCACCCCATCAGGTTGATCTTATCCTGCCTAATCTAGGTGAGTGTTTCTATTACCAAACTGGCTGATGATATTATCATCATCGGTATCCACATTCGATTTAATCGCTCGAATTCTTGATTAGTCATGATAATTATAAAATGTTGTCATATTCTTTAATTATCATTTGATGGAACTATAATTTAAATTATCAGGAACCAAAACATGGAAAAAAGATGGGTCAGTGGAATCCCTCTCATGTTCTGGTGAACATGTACTAACTTGTATACATACTTTTACACCTGAGTACGACTCGGACGGTGACTATAAGTGTAAAGGATACAATGAAGGCCGGAGTGGTCAGAGAGAAAACAAGTCAGAGATCAAATTAACAACCGGTATGAGATTTACTTCCCACTATTTAAAATTGTAGGCTATGATAAGTTTTATTGTGTTTAAATCATTAACAATAACAACATCATAATTACATTAAAATTTATAATATTTATCTCATTTTGAAAATCTGCAATACAGGTTACTATTTCAGTGAGACAAACACAGGTGAATGTCTTGAAAGAGACAATATCAGTACTTAATAATGGGGTTATCGAAGTAGATTGCATCATTGTTGGAAAGCCCTTGGTCGACATAACCTCTGTCACCTGGACACATAGTAAAGATTTGGATTTTGATTTGAGCAAATCTGTGACTATTGTCAAGGGAAAGCAAGATGACTTTACACTGAATTCAACGCTAAGAGTGAAAAACCCCTTAACAACGTACACTGGCACATTTAACTGTAATGTTGTAGATCATGACGGCGAAACTATTTCAAAGGCAGTGAATGTGTACATAAATAGTGAGTTTTTATAGAATTTTCATTTCATAACTTTTGAGACATGGGTTTCTGTATTAAGTGTCTGTTGTCGTTCAGTTCATTATTTTTTTAACTTGTAACTTTGTAAGAAATTAGGAGTATTTGAAAATTGCACTGCTGATTACATCTCAAGAAAATAATTAACATGCCAAATTCAGCTTTTTTCAAACTATCAAATATTTTGCTGCTTTAAGGTTGTTTATTTTATTATTGAGATGTTTAAGCTACCATACTAAATCCAATTTTACAGACCGGGAATTCTTAGAACCACCAAAGGTCACTTACAATGACGCGGAATTCATTGAGACGGGGTCTCAGATATCTATCACTTGTCTTGTCCAAGGTATTTATAAGTTTATATATCGTACATATCATATTTAGTGATTCATACACCTAAAGTAAAAATACAAAATAATCTTACCTTGACTGTTTTTTTGAAATCAAGGGTCATGTCTTGTGATGCTTCAAAATTTGAACATACTGCTGAACATCACATGTTTTAGGATTTCCCGCACCGTCAGCAAGTCTAACCTATGAAGGACAATATAGTATGTTAGAAACCACTGAACGTCAATCTAGAACTTCTACGGTTAGCTTTTCATAACGTTTTAGTTTTTAAATGTTAATTCGTGAATCTTGCAATATATTTCCTCTTGTTGGTCATGACATGAAGGTACTAACAAAAAACCTGGCTTGTCTGGCGTCTGCCAGTTCTGATCTGTATATAAATGTTAGTGAATGATTAAATTGTCATATTAACATTATAAATCACCATTTATTTCAGAAGCTTGTGTTCAGTGTCACAACAACATGCGACTATCTTAACTTGAATTTCTCCTGTAACGTCAAAACTACGACTTCATCAGAAGTATTGAAAGCGTCTACGGAAATAGTTGGTCCTAGTATTACAGGGTGTGAAAGTGAGTCGACCACCTTCAAAGTTTCAACATTATTTGTATTTCAATCTCTACAAGAAATTTGAGGAATTTCTTGTGGTTTTACAGTGTAAATTCGCGTTTCCTGACACACTTGTAGTTGTGTAATTCATGTTATCGTAATTATTCACTATTTTTCAGGCAACCCCAAACAAAATATTGGAGTCTTGATATCATCAGGTGTGGCAGTGCTCTTCTTTATCACTTCAATAGTGGCTGGAGTTTATATTCTACGCTCACGACGCAATCAGAATAGTTCATCTGCTGGAAATGTGGTCTATGCAAATGCTGTTGTTTCCAAACTGAAAGGAGGGGAGTTGACGATGGAAAGGATGGAAGCTGAAGTCATCACCCTGTCTGGACACAACTATGATAATGTTGTTCTCCATGTTACCCCCGAAGAGGCTACTTATGTCAACACAATTGCTGGAACCTCGCCCACTACTGGTCATGTGTATAATGACGTTGTGATCCGAACTGTTTCTGCACCAGATGATACACCATATGATTATGCTCGAAACGAAGACATAATAAGACATAATATTAAAGAACCTACAATTTATCACAATCATGAATTGAAATAAATCACAATCACGAGTTAAGATAAAATATCTTTACATTTAAAGTTGATTTATGCCTATTATGAGTAATTCATATATCGCTACGGCATGTATTACACAGTTATCTTAAATGTTACCGTTCCTAAGCAAAAATAGACATCAAAGTTTCAATTTAGATGTTAATAGTTGCTTTGGCTTGTCGCCTTTTTAGCTTTTTGTAACTCATAATTCGACTGTTGATGTACACAAGGAACTTACTTTTCGAAGGAAAGTGATTTTGCTTAATTAATATTTTTTGCTAGGAATTGGACCCCATTTGGTAAAGTTACTTCGTTATTTTATAATATTTTCTTATAGTTTGTTATTTTTTGATTGAGTGAATTGTAATAGATTGGAAGTGGGAGGGGGTCAACCCCATAAATACATATTATCGGTTCCGATTTCAAAATATGTATAGGTTTTTATATATATAATAACATCTATAAACAAAAGAGCACCTAAAGAGGCTCAGCAAAGTGCTGGCCTATTTACGCTTACGAAGACTCATTCGTTCAATATGTCTCAAAGTAAATAAACTCCTCCATCCTACTCTATCTCTTGCTAAGTTCACTAAGTTGGTAAAATTATCTTCATTTTTCAAATAAATTTGTCTCTTAAATAGGTCCTTTTTCACAATAATATCATACAAATTAGTCCTGTGTCTACCCACTCGTCCCTTTAGTGTTTGACATCCTAGTGTCGCAAATAACAGAGACTGGTAGGCAGGCGTGTCGTTGTCACTGCGTAGAACATGACCTAACATTGTCCACCGTGCCTTTTCCACTCTCTCGGAAAGGGGCCTGGTCTGGGTACGAGCGTAGAGGGCCTTGTTAGATATTGAGCTAGGCCAATAGATGTGTAGGATGCGCTTGAGGTGCTTCCTCTGAACAACATCTACAGACTCTAGAACATGCTGAGGTACGGCCCAGCAGCAGCAGTTGTACAGGAGCACTGATACTACTAGTGAGTCGTAGAGTTTGATCTTTCTCTTCTCAGTTATCTGACTCCTCTCTGATCCCTGGCACCACAGCTTGTCAAATGACCAGAAGGCAGAGTTAGCTTTATTTATTCTATTAGTAACATCCTGCTCTGATCCAAGCTTAGTACCAAGAAGCGTCTCGTTTCTCCACTCCTCTTTTCCTCTTAGTTCATTACCCCACTCGTCACAGGCACCAACTTCTTCTAAATACACTCTGGTAAACTTTGTCTTTGTGTCATTGACAAAGAGACTCCATTCACTGAGAATATTCTTGGAGATCTGAAAGATATCCTGTAACTCCTCCATATTTTCACCAATCTCCTCTACATCGTCTGAATAGCCGGACTCAAGAGGCATGTGGTTATCGGCTATCGGAGGGTTGGGTTTTGAGGGGAGGACTGCTCTTATGTGCACTACAGCTCCAGCTAGATTGAGGGTAAACAATTTACCAGCTGTGCTGTCTCCTTGAGAGGCTCCTATGTTGAAAGAGAACATCTCTGAGTCAGTAGAACACACTCTGACTACTAGAGTGGTGTTAGCCATGAGGTATTGTACAAGCCTCAGGTCGTCTCTGGAGCATCCTGCAGCTTCTAGTAGTCTGATTGTTGTACCTCTGCGGATGGTATTGAAGGCAGCTGACATGTCGATACTCACTTTGTTCCATTCAAACTCCTTCTTCATTACTACAGATATGAGCATGCTCTGTGCCCAAACTAGGTCGGCACAGCTCCTGCCAGCTTTGTAGGCAGCTTGGAACGGTCCGGTGAAGTTGTCCACACTCCACAGCTCTCTCTATTCTGTTTAGCACTATCAGTGACAGGATCTTTCTAGAAACACACAGCAGGGTCAATGGTCGTATCGACTTAACTGGGCCACGAGTTTTACCAGGCTTAGCCAGTGGTGTGAGGATGCCTGCTCCTATTGCTTCAATGTGAATGTTTTTCTCGAAAGACTCGTTGAACACTTTAGCTAGCTCTTCATGAAGGAGGGGGTTGTTCAGGGCTTTCATGACCTCGCCAGGAACTTTATCAATACCCACTGCTTTACCAGACTTGAGTTTACTGATGGCTCTCTCTATCTCTGCAACGGTGATGGGACTGTTAAGGCTAGATGGGGGGTCAAGGAAGGCAGGAAGGGTAGGCTCATCAGCGTCGTTGAACTCAGCTTCAAAGTACTCCTTAATAATTCTCGCTTTCTCCTCATTAGTACCTGCGATATTCCCAGCAGAGTTGTGGACGGTTAGAGCTGGTCTAACATATCCTTTGGCGAGTATCTTAGAGGCTCCAAAGTATCTCCGGGCGTCGTCTGTGTTGTTTATCTCTTCGACGAGTGTGTCAGCACTGCGGTTGTTGATATCTCTGAGTCTCTTTGTGATCTTACGTCTTAGCTGGTTGATGTTGGTCTTGACATGCTTCCTGTTGGTCGGGAATTTGTTCTGCATATTCGCAATCATCAGCTGCTTGCGTTCAAGTGACAGTTCAGTATAAATTATTTTTATAGGTATTAATAATTAAGGTATCTATAGGTTTTTATTTTTATAGGTATTTATAGGTATTATTGTTAACGACTAATAAAATTATGCAAGTATAGGGCCAAAAATCCATTCAGAATTCTGCATTATCTACATGGAGACTGGATTTAAATTATTAATACCTATTATCCCCTCCAATTTCAAAATAGGTAATAGATATAGGTTTTTATAGGTATTTGTGGGGTTGCCCCCCCCCCCCCCCCCCCCCCCCCCCCCGCCCCCACAGATTGTAATTTTTGTATTATACTGTTATATAATTTGGATGTAAGAATTTTGCATTCAACGATCATATACCTCCAGGGAATCCTAATATAATTGGATACATAAATTACGAATTTGGGTAATTTTTCTTTAGTGCACTTTGAAATATTATAATAGATATTCATTATTTATATCGAGGCAGTATCTAAGAAGCCCAACCCTGCAACCCAGTGAACCAAGTCCGTGGACTTTTTATTACGTGATGGCAGATGGTGCAGATCACATGTCCATTGTCCTGTCCGTATACCTGATACCAGTCCGCGGAATACTTTGCACTATGTACAGCCGGGGGGGGGGGGGGGGGGGCCAATGACTACTTTTGGGGACTTGGGGAATTACGTCAACGATTTTACCCCGAGTCCCCATGATTTTTAGTCCCCATTAGTCCCCAAAAGTCTCCATTAGTCCCCATTTAGATTTCAAAAAATCTGGCTTCTCCAGACCAGATCGTAAACTTCTCAAGACTGAAGTCTAGAATATTTATAAATGGTCACTGGACATTCCTGACTTCTTGGGAGCTACTTGAGGGCTGTTAGAGTACCTCAGGTAAATTAAGGGAGGGGGCAGGGGCGACTACCAATGACAACATTGAGGAGACATATTGCATATATACGCTTATTTTATCAGATTGATCTAGTAACACGAGTTGTAGCGCAAGGAAAATAAACGCATTATCAATTTTTCTTATTACTTTTGTATTTATCTGTCTGAAATGATATGCTCAGTAATTTGAAATTGGCGTTGTATTGGTTTCTTTTGTTTTTGACGATCATTTATGGGAATATTCACAAAAGAGTGCTTGCCAGTGCTTAAAGGGGGGGGGGGGGGGGTGACAATGTCTCCAATGTCTCCCGCACCTTATCTTTTCGAAAAAGACAAAGACATTGGAGACATTGGAGACACAGCTTTTGGAGACATTGGAGACATTGGAGACACAGCTTTTGGAGACTCCTTCTCCTCCTCCTCCTCCTCCTCCCCCTCAGTCCTCCTCAGTCGTTCTCCTCCTCCTGAGTCTTCCTCCTGGGACCTTGGTCCTCCTCCTGGTTCCTCCTGGGTCCTCCTCCTCCTGGGTCCTCCTACTCCTCTTCATCATCCTCCTCTTCCTCCTCAATCATCAGTCCTCCTCCTCAGTCCTCCTCCTCATCCTTCTCGTCAGTCTTCCTCCTCCTCATCAGTCCTCCTCAGTCCTCCTCCTTGTAAGTCCTCCTCCTCCTCCTCCTCCTCCTCCTCCCCCTCAGTCCTCCTCAGTCGTTCTCCTCCTCCTGAGTCTTCCTCCTGGGACCTTGGTCCTCCTCCTGGTTCCTCCTGGGTCCTCCTCCTCCTGGGTCCTCCTACTCCTCTTCATCATCCTCCTCTTCCTCCTCAATCATCAGTCCTCCTCCTCAGTCCTCCTCCTCATCCTTCTCGTCAGTCTTCCTCCTCCTCATCAGTCCTCCCCAAGTCCCCCTCCTCCTCAGTCCTCCCCCAGTCCCCATCCTCCTCCTATTCAGTCCTCATCCTCCTCCTCCTCAGTTCTCCTCAGTCCTCCTCCTTGTAAGTCCTCCTCCTGAGTCCTCCTCCTCTTCCTGAATCCTGAGTCCTCCTCCTCCTAGGTCCTCCTCCTTCTCCTCCACCTCCTCAGTCCTTCTCCTCCTCCTCCTCCTCCCTCTCAGTCATCCTCCTCAGTCATCCTCCTCAGCCGTTCTCCTCAGCCATCCTCCTCAGCCATCCTCCTCAGCCATCCTCCTCAGCCATCCTCATCAGTCCTCCTCATCAGTACTCCTCCTCCTAGGTCCTCCTCCTTCTCCTCCTCAGTCCTTCTCCTCCTCCTCCTCAGTCCTCCTCCTCCCTCTCAGTCATCCTCCTCAGCCAACCTCCTCAGTCCTCCTCCTCCTCCTCAGTCCTCATCCTCATCCTCCTCTTCAGTCCTCCTCCTCCTGGGTCCTCTTCATCCTCCTCCTCTTCCTCAGTCCTCCCCAGTCCCCCTCCTCCTCCTCCTATTCAGTCCTCCTCCTCCTCCTCCTCAGTTCTCCTCAGTCCTTCTCCTTCTCATTCCTCCTAAGTCCTCCTCCTGAGTCCTCCTCCTCTTCCTCCTGAGTCCTCCTCCTGGTTCATCCTCCTCTTAGTTCCTCCACCTTCTCCTTCTCCTCCTCAGTCTTTCTCATTCTCCTCCTCCTCCTCAGTCATCCTCTTCAGTACTCCTGAGTCCTCCTCCCTCTCAGTCCTCCTCAGTCCTCTTCCTGAGATCTCCTCCTCCTCCTGAGTCCTCCTTCTGGGTCCTCCTTCTCCTAGGTCCTCCTCTTTCTCCTCCTCAGTCCCACTCCTCCTCCTCAGTCCTCTTCCTCCTCCTCCCTCTCAGTCATCCTCCTCAGTCCTCCTCAGTCCTCATCCCTCCTCCTCCTGGGTCTTCCTCCTCTTCATCCTCCTCAGTCCTCAGTCCTCAGTCCTCCTCCTCATCCTTCTCGTCAGTCTTCTTCATCCTCAGTCCTCCCCCAGTCCCCCTCCTCCTCCTATTCAGTCCTCCTCCACCTCAGTTCTCCTCAGTCCTCTTCCTTTTCAGTCCTCCTGAGTCCTCTTCCTCTTCCTCCTGAGTCCTCCTCCTGGGTCCTCATCCTCCTAGGTCCTCCTCCTTCTCCTTTTCCTCAGTCCTTCTTCTCCTCCTCCTCCCTCTCAGTCATCCTCCTCAGTCATCCTCCTCAGCCATCCTCCTCAGTACTCCTCAGTCCTCCTCCTTCTCTGTCCTCCTCAGTCCTCTTCCTGAGTCCTCCTCCTGAGTCCTCCTCCTCCTCCTCCTGAGTCCTCCTCCTGGGTCCTCCTCCTCCTGGGTCCTTATCCTCCTAGATCTTCCTCCTCAGTCATCCTCCTCAGCCATCCTCCTCAGCCATCCTCCACAACCATCCTCAGTCCTCCTCCTTCTCAGTCCTCCTGAGTCCTCTTCCTGAGTCCTCATCCTCCTCCTTCTCCTCCTGAGTCCTCCTCCTGGGTCAACCTCCTCCTAGATCCTCCTCTTTCTCCAATCATACATCTACGTCTCCAGTGTCTCCAATGTCTCCAATGTCTCCAAAAGCTTTGTCTCCAATGTCTCAAATGTCCCCAATGTCTCCAATGTCTCCAATGTCTCCAAAAGCTGTGTCTCCAATGTTTTCAATGTCTCCAGGACATGTCTCTGCACCCTATCTTTTCAAAAAAGACATTGGAGACATTGGAGACATGTCACCCCCCCCCCCCCCCCCCCCCCCCCCTTAAAATAAAGATCACCAAGTCTGTTCACAGAACGGCTGTTATAAATACTCATTCACCCATCATCTAACATCTTTAAGTGTATTAGGAGGGTAAGTCGAAGGGTTAATTCATGATTTTTCATTCGATTATAAGATTCAGATAGTTCAGCGAGTCGGCTACTTCTACCTTCACGAGAGCTAAACTTCAATTTACCTCAATCTGAACTGACTTGTACAGTGGTAGAACACATTACAACCGGGCTTATCATTTTACTTTTAAGTCAGGTTTATCCTACTCTTATCTTGGACAAAACATCTCGATCGTATCGTTATTAAACTAACTTGGAAACCATAAATAACTGTCAAAAATTCTGGGGACTTATGGGGACAAATGGTGAATTACGTCAACGAGTTAACCTCCAGTCCCCATGATTTTTAGTCCCCATTAGTCTCCATTGGTAGTCATTGGCCCCCCCCCCCCCCCCCCCCCGTACAGCCCAAGAAGGGTTCATATCATCGAAAACATGGTTCACATTTTCGCAAGCAGGGTTCATAAATCACATAATTGCACTCGAATTTCACTCGGTGGTAAGCTTGTTAAACTACCTTACGAGATAAGTTCACATCATGCTTTTTGGATACTACCTATGTTAGATGTTTACTACTAAAGTAATATAAATGTACAATTATTTGCTGATCCTAATATAGTAAGAGGCCATGTCAACTTTCTTTATCTAATGAAACAAGTTATTTTTTAAAAGCACTATTTTGCAATCATTTCAAAATGATTATACTACAATGTTTTTAAAATAACACTTAAACTAAATTATATAGTGTTACTATGGTGTAGCTAACTTCAATGGAGATACGACCATGTCAACATGAACAACTTCTTGCTTTTGTAAGTCAAGTTTATACAATTCATCATTCTTTCTGTATGTCACACTTCAAAGATAGTACATTGTAGTGCTACTATAATTTTTATTGGACGGACGTATCGAATATTCTTTTCAGAGAAAAATACATATTATCGAAAATAAGTCTTTTAAAGAAGCGTCCCACCTTCATAATTATCTCAATTAAATGTTCAATACAATAAATAAAGATGAATAATAAACAAGATCAAATCGAACCACAGATAACTTGAATTGTCTATGTAACAATATAACTGATTTTGCTGCAATTGGAACCATGACCATGGAATACCGAAAAATGTGAAGTTAATATTCGAATATCTTTTTCTCAAAACTGAAAAATATTATTTCAGATTCGTGCTGTGTCTTCTTATCATCAGATCAAAATGCGGTAAATAGTCTTTATATTGTTTTATCAAATTCGATACCTGCATTAAATGCTAATCCCAAATTATACCCAATATCTCAATACTCAATAGTCAATAGTAATATGTTTCTATTATCAGGACCTGATATATTCAAGTTCACATCACAACCTGTGTCAAAAACTGTTAATTCTGGTGGAACTGTTACTTTGTCCTGTGTAACTACGAGAAGAACTGGTATATCATACTCCTGGTACAAGCTAGGTACAGCTTTCAACACACCTCCTGAGAACACAGACCTGATTAGTGGAGCTACAGGAACAGAGTATGTAGTACAAGCAGCTGATGTTGATGAGAGTGGAGAGGATAATTTGTTCCAGTGTAAAGCTACTTATGGAGACGATATTATTCTCAGTGATGTTGCAACAGTCAAATATGCCTTGACAGGTAAGTAAATGGGAAAGTGCTTAGTAGTTAGTCTGCATTCTTTTTGAAACAGTTTAAATTACCACATTAATATAAGTAAATTAGGAACATTGCTAATTGGTTTAATATAGAAAATGAGGCAATAAATTTTATGATTCATTATCGTATGTAATCAGTATTTTATATAAATGTCGAGTTATATCGAAATACCTGGAAGGGTAAAACTTCTGTTCGTAACTAGCCCTTTCTATCAGACAATATCGAATACGATAGTACTGGAAAGAGCTACATAGACCAGGTGGTAACAACACCAGATGAAGAAACTGAAGCAGGGGTTTATATGCTCAGAATACAATGTAATGCAAACGAAACCGATTTTGATACATCTATAACAAATGGAGAACCTTACGATGTACAGTGGTTTAAAGAAGGAGAATCGGGTAGAGTGGAGGATAACCATGATAATATGTGGACTTACTACAATCCCACTAAATTTGACAATTATGAATTTGAATTTGCTGGGGATTATGAAGTCACACTGAGCACAGTTGATCGGTATGATCTGGTAATTGTTAGTGTACGAACAAGTGATAAAGGAAAATATTTGTGTAAGGCAGTGTCTAGAGTCAACAAACAAGAAGTTCTCTTAGGGTCAACAGTCCTTACAGTTCCTATAGGTAGGCGAAGTGCTACATGGAAACGAATGTACAATTCGATTTACAATGTAGGGTCCTAGGATTGTAGTTAATAAAACTTAGAATAAAATCGGAGTTTAGTGAGTTGTGAAATTTGTATAATTCAATTATTCCAGAACATCCAATGAACACTGACAATATTAGACCTTAGTGAAGGTTATAAATTAAAACGATCTGTAAAATTATAGTTAAATCATTCTTTCAGAGAAGGATTATCCGGTCAAGCCACTAGATATAATTACAGGATACATGGTGCTTTCTGTAGATGATACTGGGAAGCTCAAACTTAACCCCAATGTTGGTGACAAGGTGTTACTGATGTGTGGAGCTGCATGTAGGACGTCCGGTGGTAGCTACGATGCTCAATACCAGTGGAAAGACAGCATAAAAAACCTTATAGCAGACACAAGGGAACATATTGTTACAATCGACTCTGTTGGCACAGCTACTTTTACGTGTGAGATTCTTGATTCAGAGTGTAATTCTGATGTCTCGTCGGAGGATGTCACGTTTACTAGCTCTCGTAAGTAAAAGTAGTTAATTACTAAGGAATCAAATGTATTCACTTTTCATCAAATTTCAAAAATAGCTAATAATGAGGTCTGTTTCGATTTTAAATTTCAAAAGTGGAAAGATTATTATAAGGTCATGAACTGGTATAAGTATGACATTGTTATTTTCTAATTATTTTTCAGTTGCTGAGATTAACCCGATGCTCAAATTCACATTCTCAAAGTCTCCTCCAGACTACATGTGGTATGACACTTTTGATAACACGAAGTCTCACACTCCGTTCGAAATAGGATGTAAGGGGTCCCTTAGTTCTGGAAACACTGTGTTTCAAAATGCAGTGTATAAAATGCCCGATCAATTGACTGGTTTATCAGTCACTGAAATATATGATTTCGGCCCAAGTATTACATCTGATAAAAGTGGAGTTTACCAATGCGGGATGTCTAATGATCCAAACAAAATGTTGTGGTATCAGAAGACGACAAACGTTGTCATTGCTGGTAAGTTTCATGATAGAAAGTAACTTTAGAATGCCAGTTCTGATATATTATGATGATAAGTCGTATGTTATAGTTGATGATACTAACATCGGTACAATCTATGTATTGTACTATTATAAAGTTTTTAAAGAATAATCATATTGATGCTGACTAATAATATCATATAATGTCGACGTCCGTCTAATAATATCATTGCAGCTTTCCCTTCTGCTGGGTTCACTCCAACAACTGTTAGTGTACAAGGCGATACTGCAGCTACAATTACATGTACTGTGGGTGGATATCCTATAAAATCTGTAACTATCAGCGGACCGAACTCTCTGAGTTTTGATTGTTTGACTTCAAGCTCTAGTGGGGATGTTACATGCAGTTCTACTGATAAGATAAACTATGTGGTTAATGTAAATAACTTCAAACTGGAAGATGCAGGGGATTACAAATGCGCTGTCGAAACAAAGTGGTATAAAAGCACTACTGCTAGTGCATCAGCTATAGTGAACTCAGCTTTTGACGACGCTACCTTATCATACGGTGACAGTTATTCTGATTGTAGCAACTTTAGTAGGAGCAACTATGTTTTTCAAATTAAATAAGATCATTTAAAGCAACAACTTTTTTTGTAGATTGAGAAAATATTAAATTCCCTTAATTCTTCACCTACTTGACTCATAGTCTTGTTCATTTCAGAAAGTACAACAGAACTTACAGTCAGTAAAAACCCTGCTGACAAAGGAAATTCAGTCACGCTAACCTGCGTTGTTAAAGGATACCCTGAACCCCGTGAACCTGTATTATCAAAAACAATCGACAGTTTAGCTTCAACTATTGCGATGACGTGCTCTGGAACTACTACTAAGACTTGCATAAAAGTGTTTTCCTCTGCATTGTATACAAATTCTGGAGTGTATACATGTAAGGGGGAAAATGGTGTCGCTCAACCATATTATAAATCATCTGATTCTCTCACCCTAGAGATTGGTGAGCAAAAATAATTTGTTAACCTTATTATAATTCTTCATCAAAGAAACCACAATTCCTTAAATTATCGGCACATAACGTTGCAGGAACTAGGCTCTTTCACTTTTCAGTAATATCTGTTCAGACCTTGATTTTTCGACTAGAAATAAAAGGCATTATTTTCAGTGGGAAATGTGGACGCTACAATAATCCAGTCACCAGCTAATTCTGAACTTCCAAAAGGATCCTCTGTTACTTTCACATGCAAAGTTGAAGGAAGTCCTCTACCAACGAAACTAATCTTCAAAAAGGGGACTCAGGTCGTCAAATCTTATACTGGTGGCAGCGACTCCACTGTAGGCAAAGAAACGTACCACCTCTCGTACGAGTACTCTATCAATCCCTTGAAATTAACTGACACAAGCGACTATACTTGTGAAGGAGAAAATGACAATGGCGGCACACAAACAGATAATGACACCAAAACTCTGACCGTAGTGTCTGATGTAACTGTCTCCCTCTCAGCCAGTACTGATGAACCATCTTTTGGGAATGCCTTTACTATAACCTGTACAGCAACTGGAGGTAGTTATGAGAGTGTGTGAGTTACAACTTTTATGGAATAAAGAAACTTCACCAGTTGTTCTAAATCTTAAGATTAGAAATGGAATTTATTTGCTTGGTACCATGTTACTTATTCCTTGATGTTTTACACTTTACAGGACGAAAACCCCACAGTGTTACTCTCGCACATGAAGGTACTGCGATCTCTACTGGAGTGTTCCCCTGTACTGATGACGGAGACTATTCCAAGAAGTGCACATATACACACACTGTTAACGGTACATTAAACGCCGTTGAAACAATAAATTGCTAGATAAGACGTTTTTGTGTGAAGTACGCAACGTCAGAATTTAAGAACTGTTATCAGTTGCAGTAGTATTGAATATATCATTAAGGTTAAACAAAATTAAATCCTATTTAAAATGATAAAACATGATGAATAACTTCAGATTACTCTGTTGGAGGTACATACACTTGCACTGGATTGAACAAAGTAGCGGGAAATGCAGTGCGAACAGATTTCAAATCTGTTCAAATATTTGTATCTAAGACTGTTGTGGTGTCCCTTACTCCTGCGAGGTTAAAACTAATTAAACTGCAATGTCATGATACTAGTCGTTTAATTTATAAGTTAACTCGTGCGAGTTAGATGTGTAGTCTTTAGTCAACTATCAAGCTACAAAACAGATATATTGACATACGCCGCCAATATAACAATATTTTCTGTAACCCAGACAAAACTGATGTTTTAAATAATAGCACTGGATAGACTGATACTTTTTGCAGTGAAACAGAAATAACCTATGGGTCTGCATACACTATTACGTGTAATGTCGAAGGAGGCGATAAACCTCACAAAGTAACTCTCAACATTCCGGACAGTAGTACCGACATGACTTGGCAGCGAGGCAGGTAAAGGAAAAAATATTGATTTAACTTCCGCTAATCCGAAATAAAATCATCCAATTTAAACTAGTGGAATATTTTTCATATCAGAGCTTCAAAGTATACTAAAAAGACTGAAATACCCTTCAAAAATACACAATTTCAGTTCAGGAAATTCATTGACGTGTACTGGAGAATTTAATCTAGTTTGCAAGTATGAGATGTCCAGTCCAGTCTATTCCAACGAAGGTTTGATATAACTGAACATTCAAGAACTATTTTTGCTGTTCGATTAGATGCGAATCAATTTAGCACTGTTTGTAATAATTATATTTATTGAAGGTATGTCATCTGATACAATCCCACTTATTAATGGATGTAGTTTATCTTTGACGTGTAAATTTGGTTGGTAAATTACTGGTTATATTGATTGCAGGGCAGTACAGTTGCACCGGTTATAATAAACTCCCTGGTGAAACCAATGAGAGGAGTAGTTTGGCGACTGGGTCCTTAGTTGTTGTTAAAAACGTGGAGTTGCAGCTAACAGATACCATAACTTCGAATTTAAACGAAGTTTATTATGGAAACGAATTCAAAATAACTTGTGTCGCAGAAGGTGGCAGGATTCCATTCTATCTTGAGCTAATTCAGACTCCTTTCGACAGTTCAACGCCTAAAGACCTTGTTTTATATGACACCACAGCATCAAAGACTCCAGACTCTGTAACAGTGGATGATGGTGGAAATACCTTGACGTATGTTAGCAGTGTTACAAACTCCGGTTATGATGATATTGGAACCTACAAGTGTTTGTCCAAGAATAAAGCTGCTTTGATGGCAGAACAAGACGCTGAAGATGAGGTGGACGTCATAGTGGGTTAGTGTGGTGTGATCCTGGAATTAATATTATTTTTGATGATCATAAATAATAAGAATTCACGATGAAGATTATTAATAATGATAATTCAAAGTTACTGAAAACGTTTGTCGTTAAAGAAAACGGCTGTTTGTCAATAATTAAATGTATCTGAAGGTAAAATTCCCTTATTGCGTTAGTTTGTTATTGGCAAACTTACAAACTAATTGGTTTCATAAGGTACTCTTCTACAAAATCATAACATTTTATTTGAGGTGACAGGTACTTGAGTTGGAGAACTTTCTCCATAGAAATATGGCTCTTTCAGTTAGAGATGTGACGAGTACGATATCTAATTTTGATATAGTGGACAAAGGTTCACAGTTGACGATCTCCTGCATTGCTGAAGGGTACCGACCTCCTCATAATATTGCTCTGGAAAAGGATGGAAGTTTGGTGATAAATTGGGACAATCAGGCTACTGATAGTGATTGCACCGCTTTGACGTTCTACAAATTCGAATGTGTTCATAGTGTAACTAATATCGGTGAGTATTAGGTCTTAATCACAAGATTTATTACATTAGAAATATCTTTCTTTGCTTGAATAATGTGTATTTTAAAGTGAAATCTGCAGTGTTACGAATCTTATCTATATAATGTGATTTAATTTGTTAATAAAGACCAAACTTTAATTTTGTTCCGTAAAATTTCTTTTTCTTTTTGTGTTAAACGTTGAAAAGTAAATATTTTATTCCATGATAATATTACCAAATTTGTAAAGTCGTTTGAAAAATAATTTTTAGGGTATACAAATGGAGGTCGATATACGTGCATCAGTAAAAATTATGCTCTTGAAAGCAAGGAAGTAATCAGAGAAGTCAACCAAACTTTGCAAATATCGCAAACTGTGTTGACTCAACTTTCCCCTCCCAGGTAGGCCCCATTGATTATCAAATATAAACAATTATATTTTATTTCCTTAAGTAATATTATTTATTTGGTCTCTTGATTAATAGGGTAGATCCTTTGTCTTAACGATGAGAATTTGAGATTCAAACCATGTTCATATTATATTTTACTTCAGTGAAAGTGAGTTGGAATGGGATGGTTCCTTACTACGTATTACCTGTAACATCGAAGGTGGCAATCAACCACACAAAGCTACTATGAATCTTCCAGATGGTTCCATATTAATATGGAATCGTGATACTTCGTAAGTATTATACCAAGTCCTTGATAAGAACCACGTATATATTCTATTGCCGGTCCTTTATTATAACGTTACAGTCTGTATTTAGATAGATGTCGGTATTGGAATTAATAGCAATTTAATGTGACCCGATCAACTCATGGCTATTTCATAATTATTACCAGGGGAAGTGTACAAAATACGTTTACTTGCACCGGAGACAATGAAATAGAATGTGTTCACAAAGTAGCGTCTACCACCTTCGACAATACTGGTAAAATCTTAACAAAATGAATTTATCTGTTTTTTTATTAATGCGAAATAAATCCCCAATAGCTCATTGGGGTGATTCGGTACATTATTGTTCTATGCTGTTGCCGGGGAGATTTTGTCAAGTTTAAAATACGTTAACAATATCTATATTTATCTTTTGAATTGTTTTTATTTTTGATTATTTCAAGGTTTTTCTATATTCCTATACACATACAGCTGTAATGCTTCAGGAGACTACAATTGCACCGGATACAATACGATTCCAGCTGACTCCACCACTGTTTACACTGAGAGTAAGACCGTGGCAGTTGTTATCGTAAGAAATGTCAAAGCTTCAATAACTTCTAGTGCTGGATCTGACGAAGTTGATTTTGGAACTGAATTAAAGTTAACATGTAAAGTTGAAGGTGGTAGAACTCCCTTCTTCCTGTCGGTGTACTTTACTAATAGCGCTAATATCACTTCTAAAATCATCCAGCACGACAAAACAGATCAGTCCGACAAAGTTATTCAAGGGAAAAGTTCCCTTGAGTACGTTCATACAATAAACAACATAACATATGACAGCAACGGCTCCTACAAGTGTACTGGGAAGAATAATGCTTTAGAAAATCAGGAAAGGGCAGACGAATCTTCTAAAAGTGCTGTCGTTGGTAAGGAGATAGCCCGGTCAACAACAGATGTGTCTGTCTGATTATTCTGATACATGTTTAGTTTATAAAATCACCCACGATTATAATCAGTGTTGTGAACTGTCAGGGTTTGTCAGCATACCTTTTGATTGGGTATTTGATAATTTGTTGATTAAGATTGTTCTGCCTCTACTTTTTGGCACGAAGAAAAAATTCATATCCATCTATGAAATTTTCTGACTGAATGCTTGTTTGATTGGCTCTGAAATTTGTTTTAAAGTTGAAACCATAGTATTCACTTATAAAAGATATTATTTTAAATCTATAAAGCAAATTGTCTATTTAAATGGGAATAAATATTGTAGAGCTGATAATGAACTATAATCTGCATACTGATACTGCTAGTCTGCTATTATTGAATTGGTACGTTGTAGGTGCTTGCATGTCTTTGATCGTTTTTGGGAAATTTTTATCCTTTGATTGATTTTGAGTAATTCTGGTATTTTTCGAGACTTTTTATTGAGCCCCATAATCATCATTTTATGAACGTGAACATTTAACAAAGTATTTTATGTATATATAATTGTGATCTTTGATTTATTTTTCTTGTTTGTTTACTTATATATGAATTATGAATTAAAATTCTCAAATATCTTCATCATTATGATTCTATTGATTTAAGTATATTATGTTTTTATACCGCTAGGAAAAAAAGTCAGCACATGAAGAAAACAGTTTATTATGATTATTTTCTTTCAGTCAGAAACGTGAAGATTGATCAGATAGACAATATCAAAGTTGATTTTGGGACCTCATTGGTTTATAACTTTCAACTTAATGGTGGTCGGTCACCACACTTGGTGAAGTTGGACATTGAAACTATCAACATTTTTCATTGGGAAGGTGATTCAAACGTGTGCACTGGGACCAATACACTGACGTGCACAAAAACGATCGGAGCAAAAGATGTAAATTGGGCCTATGATGGGACTTTTACGGTTACTGCCGAAAACAGAGCAATGAACAATGGTGTAATGACTGATACTATGGAATTTTCTGTCACAGTGTACAAAGATGTCGTGGCTACAATCACACCCAGTTAGTTGATATTATTACTTTTATTCTCTAATATGTAAGTTAAGTTCATTTTGCGTGGTCTCAATCCCAAAGGATGAATCTTCGAATGATAAGAATTTCATATGATTATAATTGCTCTTTCAAATTGTTTCAAACTCTGCTATGACATTAATGAATGGTGATAACTTCACACAATCAACAAAACAAGGTTCAGAAGAAACTATTACTTACCACGAGGATAAAATCATCACCTGTAAAGTTGAAGGTGGGCTGTCACCCCACCAGGTTGATCTTATCCTGCCTAATCTAGGTGAGTGTTTCTTTATTACCAAACTGGCGTTATTATCACCGGTATCCACTTTTAATTGCTTGAATACTTGATTAGTCATGATAATTATAAAATGTTGTCATATTTTTGAATTATCATTTGATGGAACTCTAATTTGAATTAGCAGGAACCAAAACATGGAAAAAAGATGGATCAGTGGAATCCCTCACATGTTCTGGTGAACATGTACTAACTTGTACACATAATTTTACACCTGAGTACGACTCGGACGGTGACTATATGTGTAAGGGATACAATGAAGGCCGGAGTGGTCAGATAGAGAACGAGTCAGGGGTCAAATTAACAACCGGTATGACATTTACTTTCCACTATTTAAAATTGTAGGCTATGATAAGTTTTATATTGTGTTTAAATCATTAACAATAAAAACATCATAATTACATTAAAATTCATAATATTTATCTCATTTTGAAAATCTGCAGTACAGGATCCTAATTGTATACGACGCTACATTTACTATTTCAGTGAGACAAACACAGGTGAATGTCTCGAAAGAGACAATATCAGTACTTACTAATGGGGTTATCGAAATAGATTGCATCATTGTTGGAAAGCCCTTGGTCGATAAGTCCTCTGTCACCTGGACACATAGTAAAGATTTTGATTTTAATGAATATGTAAAAACTGTTGATGGAACTGAAGATAACTTCACACTGATTTCTAAGCTCACTTTGACGAAACTTGTGGCAGAATACAATGGAACCTTTAACTGTAATGTCGCAGATCATGACGGTGAAAATATATCAAAGGCAGTAAATGTTTTCATAAATAGTGAGTTTTTAAAGAATTTTCATTTCATAATTTTTGAGACATGGGTTTCTTTATTAAAGTAATAAGTATTAAGTGTCTGTCGTCGTTCAGTTCATTATTTTTTTAAAACTTGTAAGAAATAAGAAGTATTTGAAAATTGCACTGCCGATAACATCTCAAGAAAATATCTATCATGCCAATTTCAGCTTTTTTCAAGTTTAGTTATCAAATATTTTGCTGCTTTAAGGTTGTATATTTCACTATTGAGATGTTTAAGTTACCATACTAAATCCAATTTTACAGACCGGGAATTCTTAGAACCACCAAAAGTCAATTACAATGACGCGGAATTCATTGAGACGGGTTCTCAGATATTTATCACTTGTTTTGTCCAAGGTATTTATAAGTTGATATGTATTATCATATTTTATGATTCATGCACATAAAGTAAAAATAATCTTTTGTTGAAATCAAGAGTCATGTCTTCTGATGCTTCAAAATTTGAACATACTGCTCATCATCACATGTTTTAGGATTTCCCGCACCGTCAGCAAGTCTAACCTCTGAAGGACAAGACAGTATGTTAGAAACCACTGAACGTCCAACTATAACTTCTACGGTTAGCTTTTCATAAGTTTTAGTTTTTAAATGTTAATCCTTGAATCTTGCAATTTATTTCTTCAGGTTGGTCATGACATGAAGGAACTAACAAAACCTGGCTGGTCTCCCAGTTCTGATCTGTCTATTATTGTTAGTGAATGATTAAATTGTCATATTATCATTAATCACCATTTATTTCAGAAGTTTGTGTTCAGTGTCACAACAACATGCGACTATCTTAAATTGAATTTCTCCTGTAACGTCAAAACTACGACTTCATCAGAAGTATTGAAAGAGTCTACGCAAATAGTTGGTCCTAGTATTACTGGGTGTGAAAGTAAGTTCATCATGCATGCTTCTATTCGATGATTTATTATTTTATATGATGTATTATATGGTAATGATTGGTAATAGTAGTGTTCGTCATTTTCCACTGATATGAGGAAAGAGGTGTGTGCTGATTTAAGACTTTCTGTCAGTTTGGTATTTGTTTATTCTACCAGTTTTAACGTTTAAGAACCCATGATTTTCTTCGGCGCTTTTGGCTTATTTTTTGTCATCGATTTGCCATCGATTGCTAGATACATTCAGGCAGTCAAATGAAAGTTTGAGCCAACTATACCTATTATGTTAGTACTGTCCATATAAAAGCAATAAAAAACGTGTAACTGAAAAGGTTCCGCTTATTTGGACGAATAATATACCGGACCACTTTTATTTTGTATTATATCATATTTTGTTACAGTAAACTGTATATTTTGCAGATCCCCTGCCAGTTATACTAGGAGGGGGTATTGGAGGCGGAGTTGTCTTCATTGTCCTCATCGCAGTGGTAGTCTTCTTTATTCTCAGAAGAATCAAAGGTGAGTTCAGTAATGAATATTTTGTAAAATAGCACTAAGTGTTGGTAGGTTGACAAGAAATGTCGTATGAGTTTTGAGTTTTAGTGAATCAACTACTATACCTATTATTTAAAATTGTTTAATGAAAACTTTACCTTACCTACTTAATTATTTAAATCTGAATGTTAACATGACTGTGTTTTTTAGTTAATAAAGACAAATCCTATACTCCAAAGAATGGAGCTGAATTCCCGTGAGTAGACGTATTAATTATTAACTGTGTTTATCTCACTACACACAATGTACAGGGTGGGCCAAAAGTCAGTACCCATACGTTGGCCTTAATAGCTCCGCCGTGTTTTATATTTGAGAGCTGTTGCTTTGCAGATGGCATACTGTACTTACTGGTTCGAGGATTCCGTCGTCAAAATTTGAAAATTCGAATATTTTAGACCACGCCCATTCAATATTAAAACACCTATATTGTTTTCTCTGAACATGCTGAACGCCTAATGTTTTCAGAGACGGTAGATTACCAAATGTTGCATATGATCTGAAAACATGAGGCAAAACGGATTAGAAATGACGAAGTTATCAAGCATTTTCTGTATCTCGTTAACAAAATTGACTGGGTGATTATGTGACACCGTGACACGACACCTTAATTGAGCACCCTTAACAATTCCCATAATGTTTAACGGGGTAGTTAACGGGGTAACCTTATCTCGTGATTAGGTAAACCAATCACCTGATCACACGTAATGAATAAACTCGTTATGCTTCATATCTCAGTCATCTGAGAAGCTACAGTTCTAATTCTTTCAGGACAAACGTAATTCGAATGACCAAACACAATTCAATAACATTTAGCTTGATCCGACTATCCAAACTATCAAATAAATGTGAAAATGAACTTCCATTTGAAAAAAATGAACGCGAATATTTTTCGAGTTGACAAATTCCTCGAACCAGTGGTGGTACTAAGTCATACCAGAAGGAAGTATTTAAATTGGGCACTCAGTGACTGAGCTATAAAGTCCAACGTATGGGTACTGACTTTTGGCCCACCCTGTATTTTATGTTAATTACTATATAATATAACAATATATATTGGCCCAAATACATCTTTATCTGTTCGAATCATATGTTATTCAAGTGATAAGCTTCGCAGAATTTAAGAATCCACCTCTCCATCGTTATTCAACAACTTTGTCTTTAGTTCAGGCTAATTGCCTGCTTGCCACAAACTCTCAGTTTCTGAAGACCTGTCTGAATTTTTATACAGTAAACAATATCATTCATTACAAAAGCATTTTTTTAAATGAAGATAAAGCTCCAAGGATAGAACAATGTTTAGTTAAAAGGTCCACGAGAAAAATATCACGTCCTTTTTGACGTTCTGTGTCCGGCGTTTGTGCTTTTGTGTACGTCATAATTCAAACTTATAATCAAGATCGGTACTCGAAATTCATGTAATTGTGATTGGTCGATTAAAATGTGCGCACTCTAGATCTCATAACGATCAACCAAGACATGTACCTCACGGATCAAGGTAGGTGTAGTCGTTGGAATAGATCTCCCTGAACTGATCTCTTTCTATATATCCGGTTTTTTATCTTACTTTGGGGTTCACAGTCCGGCGTAGATAAGATGTGTAGACTGTAGGCAGTAGGAGCATATTGGGTATATAATAATATACGTATGATTCGGCACTTTTCATGATTCGATGATTATTTTATGTTCTAATAGCTGGTCATCTTTACTAATTGGCAGTTAAGAGCTTCAAAAGTGTAATTAAAGCGATGTCTTCAACCTTTGTTTTTACCTTATCCTTTTAGTTTTCTACCGACGCGATGAACTAAATATTCGCGTGGGTCATGGCTGGATCACTGATTTTCCCCCATCTGATCGAGATTCGAGTCTTTTTATACTCTTCGGCTTTATAAAAAATACCAAATGCTCGTTTAAAGGACGGACTTTGCGCCTTGGTCATCAAGGCTTGATGATGGCCAAGTTGAAAGTCCCATCCAGAGCTGATACTCTGATATCTTAAACCTATATTATATACCTGTAACATCATAATATCATAAGATGACTAGATAAACGAAAATGAAAAATTGGCCCAATATATCAAACTTATAGACATATACAAGCATCTGTTTAACCCCAAACTCTCAGGAATCCAACCTTTGTTGCTGACCCTACCTACGCTACAGTCGGGGACAACAACCAGGTGCTGATTAACATGTGACATTTTAATGTGATCCTGATATAATATACATAGTCGAGCATGTATGATATCAACTTGATACTTTTTTTCCTTTAAATCCTTTATAACAACTATTTCATAGTAAGATAATAATAATATTATGGTAAATATGAAATAATATGATAAAGTAGAGATTTTACCACCTCCACTGTCAGGTTGGTGCAACAGGAGGGTATTCTCATCTGAACCGACCAGCTGGTGAAACAGATGAAGAGGGCTACGCTTGTATTGGCCAGTTAAAACCGGTACTTACCCGCTTAGATTTAATTTTTTATCAGAAAAAGGAAGAAACCCCACACTTTTTTATTAGAGTCGATACAAATTACTGATATTTTTCGAAGACATGTGTGATTATAACTTATGCTAAAAACTTCAAAAATCGAAATACAAGTAGTTAAATAAATCATCAATGAGATCTGATTCTTATATTGATTAACCGAACTCCTTTCAGGGCACTGCAAATATACATCCCACCGGAGAGGATGCTTACGCTACCCTGGATACTACCTCTAACGGGATGTTGGTAAGTTTTAGAACTTACAGAATAATAATTCAGTGAATAATACTCATAATTCTCACTGAATTATTAGTATTAATAATTTAGTGAGAATGTTAAAAAATACTAGGTCAAAGGATCGTTTTAGATAATGCCTCCTTCTTTTATTTAAATTTCATATTATGCTAGAATGATTTTTGGCAAATGAAATGCATCACGATCAGTGGTCTACCGGGGCCCCGGCCAAAATCACAACCCCCGGCCCTTCCCGGCCTCGGCCAAAATTTGGCAAATCGCCGAGGGTAAACCCCGGCCCCGGCCAATAAATTTAACCCCGGCCCCGGCCAAAAACCATGCATTTGCCGGGGGCACAGCCGGGGATTTCATGAATGATTTTGGCACATTTTTAATGGTAATTATGAGATTTCAAAGTTGAAAAATGTATTGTCTACGTTGAGTACGTTTAAATATAGAAAATACAACATACGGCTTAAATTAGACTACGGCTAGTAACATAAAAACCGTGGTTCTTCCTCAATATGATCAGACTTTTCAATTAATCGTCTCCGAGAAATTTGCGATAAAACATACGTAGAATCTAGAAAGTAAAAATACTGCACTGCAGCTAAAACTACGGCTCAACGTAAACTACAGAGCCTAACATTTATGGTAAATTTTTGTGAACCGAGCCATATTTGGATGTGGGATTACTTTTAAATCCCGAGGTCCAGATAAAGTAGCAGCTGAGGGTTATCCTCAGTTCCGAGTTGAGGATTAGAAATAAAGTATGAATCTCAGGATAATGAGGATTATCCTGAGTTGGTTCACAGCACGAAGCCGCGCCTTGAGTTTAATCCTTCCCGATTGCATCACACCAGCCTTAATTATTATCAAATTCATGTTTCAAGTTCTGACTTCAGTTTGGTAAACTACCCCGGCCCCGGCCCCGGCAAAATGGAAGATTTCCCGGCCCCGGCCAATTCTCAGTGGTCAGCCCCGGCCCCGGCAGTGGCGTAACGTTGCCTGTTGGCGATTTGGCGCCCCCCCTAAGACGGCGCCCCCCTGCACAGCGGGGTCAGCAGGGCCCTCCGTTACGCCACTGGGCCCCGGCTATATTGGGGCTCCCCGGCCCCGGTCAGAATCCTGCCCCCGGTCGACCACCGATCACGATGCAGGAGTAATTTCTGTATTTGTTACACTTGCCTTCAACGTATAAGCTTATAAGGTTTAAGTTCAGTTCTCTAAATTTGGTAAACAATCTACTACTTGATAACAAATAATATGAGAATGTGTTAACATTCTGACTTTCGAGTTTTGACTTTCTTACGATACCTACACAACTTCAATCAGCCTAATCTAATACATCTGCACCTCTCATGTTACAAAGGCCAAAGGGTGTCCTAGAACCTAAATCTCATGTTGTGTGGATTATTAGGTTAGAAGTTTACTGGGCGATACCTCATGCTCATCATGCTAAGTAAATGTTACACCGTACTTGGAATGCTTAAAATGACTGGATTGTTAGTTAATTACCGCTGTTTGCAGATGGTGAAAATCCTTACATTAACTTCTTTAGTTTTTTTCTTAATTTGTGACCAAATTTAAATGGTAGCTTTATAAATAATGAATAAATAAATGATTTCATACGTAATTCGTTCTACAGGGACTCAGAAGACAAGGATCTAACGAAACATACGCGGCCCTTAACCGTCCTGCTCCTGGGAAAGCGGTTAGAAATACCAACTTAGTTTTCTGCTTAAATCATTGTCACACATATTTCTATTTTGTTTTTTCTGACACACAAAACTATACGACAGTTAATATCGTAAATTATGTTTAACGTCAAAATGTATATCTAGAGAGTAAGTTATTAAGTTATTAGTAGTTAAGTTATAAGTTGGATAGTAACTGAGACTTTAACCAACATCCTTGTAGAAAGAAAAGGACTTCTTTCTAGTCTATCTAGCAATTCACTGATTAGTTAGCTTTAAAACAGCCAACAATTAGCTTAATTAACAAAGAATAGCAAAATAGTGATGTTACACATTTTTTGATAAGATCCGTTAAGTTTTACATTCTTCTGACCAGTGGTACACACAGATGTGGTATGATGTCTAGATGCTGATTTCACACTCATATCCCAAGATTAAGTTATCACCATTCAACTCAGCTTATGGGTAGATGTATTACCAACTCGCTTAGTACCCTAAACTATCACAACCTCGACAATACATTTATCTGTTAAGCTAATAAGGATGTATATTCTCCCTGTAACAATGAAAAATACCACTCCAAAACCTTATCCCTCTTCCGTATAATCTACTCAAAGTCTTGTTCTGGATGTTTCTAACAGAGCCGATAGTCACCCGGTAAATACCTTCAGTCTGGCTACTCAGACCAAACATCCAGAGCTACTCAGTCTCGGTGATGCTTTGTGCTATCTTGTTCCTTCTGGTGTTTCTGAGCATGGTCCTGTGTGATGGGATACAGTGAGATGTTTTGGGAAATGTAGAAAGTAATGTTTCGACCACAAAATTTATATTTCCTACTGTACTATTATACAATCACCTAATTTGGCTGATACACTGATTGTAAGATTTGTTGTACTCACCTCTGCTACGGATTCGCGAGATAAATCTCAAGTTTACTTTTATGGGAAACGTCTCTGTTTACTAGGCCAAATCAGAATCAATGATATTAGTCTATGGAATTAGTTTATCCAATAAGAAGACATTGAAAAACATGGTGGAAATAAATAGTAAACGAAATTCACAATTACGATTAGTATTAATTCTCTAGTACTTCTGTACTAAACATAACTTCATATAATCTAGTTTAAGGTATTCGTTCAAGCCAATTACCATGTTTACGTCTATACCCACTTCGTGGTAGTACCACCTTACTGTATAGTAGGTTGTGTATTGTTTGTGTAAGTGTACTGAACGTGTATGTAGAGCTGGTAACAATAATATCCTACCTAAATAGCAGTCACTACTGCGTGGCTAATAATTAAGTGTTCAACAATTCTCGTAGTAACGTAGAATGTAGATAGGATAAAGGAAAAGTATATTTATAGTGTAAGGTCAACAATTTTACTGACAACATTATATTCATGTTCCCGAATAATATGTGCTACATACTATGCGTGACTTAAATAAATAGGGTAAGAAATACCATTATAGTCCCTGAGAGTGTTTCTAATGTCGCCTCAAGCTCAACATTTAAGTATTTAGGTTTTCCAAGACAACAGCACGTTCGGACAGATTTATGATTTCGAGCTGTTGAGACCCGTTTTCTCCTCAATACAAGACAGTATCATACTTATCACGTATTGGGGGGCATTGGGCAGCCCCATTAATACATATTAGTTAATTACCCCCTTCGATTTCAAAATAGGTATAGCTATTTATGGTTATTTATGAGGGACGAGGGTAGCCCCCAATACGACTTTTCTACTTCCTAGTACAGTGTTCAATACTTTCGCTTTTGTCACTCATAGTGTAAATCAGCTCATATGCCGTGGTGCTATTATATAAATAAGAAAACACACCGTAAATATTAAGTTATTTGGTAAAATAAATGTTCTTTAAGCATATTTTCCATGTGACGAATAGTTAACTGTAGAAGATATCATCATAACAAGTTCTAGTCTCGAAGTTTTGGAAAAGCTGTCTATGAACCACCCCTTTGATTATAAAATATTATTGAACGCTGTAATGATATCATAAAATGAGAGCTTAGACATCACAGTAAAAACCTTCGTAACAAATATTTACAGCTTACTGTTACGTCACATCCTGAGATGACAGCTGATAAGTAAAGATCGTAACGGTCGTTATTTTCTTCAGATGTTATCGAGCAACCGATGAGACAGTTAACGTCGTATGGAATTGTTATCAGGAAGGAATTTAAATGAATTCTTATCTTGATAACCGGATTATTAATAACACTATCAACTACATAACTTGTATTATCACATGCTATCTATAATTTACCTCGTATCTTACCACGAAGTTCCCACACAATATATTTGTTATTTACTGGTGTTCAGTGTAAAATGTGTTCAGTGTAAAATGTGTTCGGTGTAAAATGTGTAAAATGTGTTCAGTGTAAAATGAGACCCCTGATAACTGATACCCCACCATCCTCCCTGAAGCCCATTCCCAGTAAACGCGGGTTTTACTGAACAATTAGATCTGCAGGCTCCGCTAAAGTCATCAGAAGATAAAGATTGCACATAAAGGGCAATACACTACTATACTGCCTGCAAGTAGTTTACTCTAATAAATGTACTCAACTTCCATTTTACAATTTTCACTCGCTCAGTACAACGTGCATTGAGTCACGTGTCATCAGTACATTTCTGTAAGGGCTTTTTTGTAGGTTAATATAGCAGTTCTTCCAATATTTAATATACCTCCAATATAATATACTTCACAATTCACATCCATCTCAGTGTACCAATAACTGTCATTTTGAGAGTAGGGACTGTAGTTTAAATAACGGCATTATAATATTATTTTCATAGCATGACTTATTGTACTAGGTTAGAAATATGGATGTGGAAATTATAATCACTCTATTTGCACTGTATTTGGTTCACAATACTAATATTTAAGCCGCCATTTTCTAGACCTTTATGTCATTTATTATGAGCCTGAACTATTTCAGAAACGAGGAGTTATCAGCAAGTATAAGCCGATGTCCAACAAGCCTAAAACCTTTGGTATGCCCCCCAACAAACCTGCTACTGATGACATTGAAATGGTGAGTTACTTGTTCCTTCTCGAAATGTATTATCAGTATTAATATAAGGTTAACATAGGGTAGCTAACAATGATTTATTGTTCGTTGTTATCTCCCGATATAAAAAAATAAAATGTATAGCCCTGGCCTTCAAGTTCTGAATTTGTTTCAGTTTGGTAGATTTTACCATTTTCACAATGCTATTCCGTTTTCTCGCATGAGTAGTAGAGGGGGCAAAAGCCCCGAATTAGAAGCTTTTTGCGAACAAAATCTTGCCTCTCACAGGCAGAACAAAAATTAAATTAACAAAATAGTATGTTTTTATATATTTTTTGGATTCTGTTGATAAATTCTAGTGGGCAGTTATAACTGGTCATTCGTATTAGTACTATTAATACTCATGGAATGTGATCGCAGTGACGTCATCATGTGGCGCTTTGCCATCATTACAGTGGCATTCTGCCAACATTACACATTACAACTTAACTGTTTACAAGAGATCTGGTTAATATGACAGGTTTTAATTTTATAATTTCTTTCTGCCCCCGTCTTTAATGTTCCTTTTATAAGTTATTAATCCAATCTTGACTCGTGTCCCGCTAACTTGCACGCAATAATCCATATTATAATGTATTTATCCTATTTTAAGAAACTTTAAGAACCTTAATGGTGTCGTTTAATCGAAATTCATCCAACTATAATTTGCTAAAACTCCCTCCAATTTTGCGTGGTATTTAACGACTACTACAATATGTCAAATATCACAGATGACAGGTTATTACCCATACCACTGTCTATTGACCATCCGATAGCTCCCTTGACATTTCTTTAAGTTCTTAGATTAACGATCCTTATTAGGAGGTAAGGGGTGAGTTTAAGGAGGTAAGGGGTGAGTTTTAGGAGGTAAGGGGTGAGTTTTAGGAGGTAAGGGATGAGTTTTAGGAGGTAAGGGTGAGTTTTAGGAGGTAAGGGGTGAGTTTTAGGAGGTAAGGGGTGAGTTTTAGGAGGTAAGGGGTGAGTTTTAGGAGGTAAGGGGTGATTTTAGGAGGTAAGGGGTGATTTTAGGAGGTAAGGGGTGAGTTTTAGGAGGTAAGGGGTGAGTTTTAGGAGGAAAGGGGTGATTTTAGGAGGTAAGGGGTGAGTTTTAGGAGGTAAGGGGTGAGTTTTAGGAGGTAAGGGGTGATTTTAGGAGGTAAGGGGTGATTTTAGGAGGTAAGGGGTGATTTTAGGAGGTAAGGGGTGAGTTTTAGGAGGTAAGGGGTGATTTTAGGAGGTAAGGGGTGAGTTTTAGGAGGTAAGGGGTGAGTTTTAGGAGGTAAGGGGTGATTTTAGGAGGTAAGGGGTGAGTTTTAGGAGGTAAGGGGTGAGTTTTAGATTAAAACTTTATTATATCTCTCCTCTCACTTAGTGGCCACCTACTTTACACATCACATGACATGGTCAGGTCATTTAACTTTGTGTATTTATCATGCACTTTCAATGAGCTCTTCCATTCAAACACGCCTCTCCAGCCAGTGAAAATTTGAAATTATATCACGTGACTTGAACCATCCAATCAATCTAGGTATTAGTAAACTAATCAGATTCATCGTTCTGAGTATCTAAGTGCTTCAGGCCATCAGGAATCAGGAGCAGAACTAAAAACTTGTGAACTCATTTGAACGGATCGTCATTTATCAATCAAATCTTTAGATCTCTACGGATATACCAGGTCCATCAAACATGACACGTTCTTGTTGGATCACACTTGTAGATTACCAGGGAACTTGTCAGTCACTTTCACTTATCAGCTGATCACTTTGCAGATCTGAGGATTGGATTGAATGTAAAATGTTAATGTAATATTTTAAGGTTCCTTATTAATCCTTTTATTTCATAATGTAATCATCCAACTCTAATTAAAATATCCAAACCCCAACCGATATTATTTGTCATACCTGATATTCCGAATAAGAATTTCGAGTTTTGAAAGCCACGCGACAATTATTTATCCATGCTGTACGACTATTAATAATTCGTGACATACTACACACTGTAGCTCTTGATTCGATGAGGAAAATAATGAAAATATCTCAGAAGAACACCGAAAGTTACAGAATGTGAAATATATGGCTTTCTACTTTTGGAAATGATGATGTAAGGAATCAAACTTGGCAACCATAAATAATTTACTCCGTAACATTAGTTAAGAAGGTCTTATCCTATCATATTCTTAATACATTCTTATTATCGTAACCAAAATACTACCCATTTTTGAAAACCATGACAAGGGTTTGAATTACAGTAATGCTGGTTTTCTGGTCCCATGAAATTTGATACAAAATTACTTAGTGCAAACATTTTGTTTCGTCATCCATGATAATTGGTACTCTACAAAAATTACACTCATTTTTTTTTAGATTGATGCGAATCCATGACTGGAAAATTACCTTATCAATGATTTTGCTGTGGTGAGCGGGCATTCTGATGATAAAGCTACAAGTACTTTACACTTACTAGTACAAACAGATCCGTATGAAAAAATCTATTTACCGACACAAAGAGTTTTCTAAGGATTGTTTATATGAATCTTTCTCTACTATACTGAAGCTCATTAAAAAAAATTAATATTAAGTTTGAGTCCCTCCAATATTTACAACATTTTCAGGGAGAAACGAGTCATGGTGGTCAGGTATGTAGGATCCAGTCTAAATTCTTAGATAAGTCATAGGATTGTGATTTTTCTAGAAAAGTTAAATAAGTAAAACTTAGTGTTTTGTTTCATCACTTATTTTACTTTCAGCCTGACCCCACATATGCTACCGTCAATCCACAAACACTGAAGGTAACAGCTTGTAGCTGATCTTTTTCTTCGTATTTAACAGCTTGTAGCTGATCTTTCACTTCGTATTAAACCAAAAGTCACCACATCGGCACATCTAATGTCACTTCAGATCAGTTACACGAACAAATATTTAAGCTAGCATAATATAACTTACATGATGTTATTCTAAGATTCCAAACTTTACTAATGTTATAATATGTAAAAAATAGCTCCCTGTCCTTCAGTCGAAAATGAAACCATCAAATTATGCGGATGTTACGTTACCTGATCTTCCTCCTGAAGTCCCGATATACGGAAACTCTTCTCTCATCCAGGTAACAGACCATTATTATTATTATAACAAGAATTGCGCCCGTTGTTTCGTTTTGGCGGACGCTAGATTTCCATTTCACATTTACTATAAATTTAAGTATAAGCTCCAATCAGCTCCAAGTATAAGCTCCAATCAGCTCACTTCAATCTTCATGAAAATAATATTGATAAATTATGCATCAAATACGGGAAAAAATTCAGTTCAAATGCCGTAGAACTTAACTTGTATATCTGTAATTCAAGAAATTATCAGCAAAGGTAAACTATACTCATGTACACATCAATACACTACGCGTGCCACGTACAAATTGGGCGTATTACCTAATAGTAATATTATACATTACATGCATCATATACATTAAAACACAGTCGCGCCGCGCATTCATAGATCACAGGCTATCTATACATCACATCTCCGCAAGCAATCCTCGCGCGCGCGCAACTTTTTCGTTGCTTGGTAACGAACGGAAGCAAGGAACACGACATACGACTCAGACCCACCTACTGCAATCTCCAAAATCCACGTTTTTCTGCAAAAACCTCCATTCGTAACCTTTCACTATTGCCTTTTTTCAAAAGGGTGAAAAGGAAAAAATAAATACAACAAACACGAGAAATACATCAAGTGGCCGAGTAGTCAAGCATTCTTCATTCTACCCCATAACAGACCATGGTGAAGATAAATCTTCATATTATGGAAAATAATTCCATTTGCAACAAGATTTAACTAAAAATATGTTGAAGTTCCCCCCGATGTGATCTCTGTACAATTCAAATGTTCTAACGGCATTTAAAGTTTTATCCATTTTCACGGTAACTACAAAGTTTTAATGCCCATTGCCCGTTAACGCTTCCCCCTTCAGCGGCCGATACCATCTGAGTATGCTGATGTAACGGTAGCACCTCCTCAGACCCCATACAACATGGCTGACAGACAGGTAACATTTCAGGATTAGGATACACCGGTTCTGGCACGTGACAAGGGTTCTGGCACGTGACAAGGGTTCTGGCACGTGACAAGGGTTCTGGCACGTGACAAGGGTTCTGGCACGTGACAAGGGTTCTGGCACGTGACAAGGGTTCTGGCACGTGACAAGGGTTCTGGCACGTGACAAGGGTTCTGGCACGTGACAAGGGTTCTGGCACGTGACAAGGGTTCTGGCACGTGACAAGGGTTCTGGCACGGGACAAGGGTTCTGGCACGTGACAAGGGTTCTGGCACGTGACAAGGGTTCTGGCACGTGACAAGGGTTCTGGCACGGGACAAGGGTTCTAACACGTGACAAGGGTTCTGGCACGTGACAGCGGTTAACCTAAGTGCCCACATTTCCATACAGTGAACTCTTTGATTTTCACGGTTACTACAATGGTTTGATACCAGTTAATGAGAGACCCCATACAACATGGCTGACAGACAGGTAACATTTCAGGATTAGGATACACCGGTTCTGGCACGTGACAAGGGTTCTGGCACGTGACAAGGGTTCTGGCACGTGACAAGGGTTCTGGCACGTGACAAGGGTTCTGGCACGTGACAAGGGTTCTGGCACGTGACAAGGGTTCTGGCACGTGACAAGGGTTCTGGCACGTGACAAGGGTTCTGGCACGTGACAAGGGTTCTGGCACGTGACAAGGGTTCTGGCACGTGACAAGGGTTCTGGCACGTGACAAGGGTTCTGGCACGTGACAAGGGTTCTGGCACGTGACAAGGGTTCTGGCACGTGACAAGGGTTCTGGCACGTGACAAGGGTTCTGGCACGTGACAAGGGTTCTGGCACGTGACAAGGGTTCTGGCACGTGACAAGGGTTCTGGCACGTGACAAGGGTTCTGGCACGTGACAAGGGTTCTGGCACGTGACAAGGGTTCTGGCACGTGACAAGGGTTCTGGCACGTGACAAGGGTTCTGGCACGTGACAAGGGTTCTGGCACGTGACAAGGGTTCTGGCACGTGACAAGGGTTTCTGGCACGTGACAAGGGTTCTGGCACGTGACAAGGGTTCTGGCACGTGACAAGGGTTCTGGCACGTGACAAGGGTTCTGGCACGTGACAAGGGTTCTGGCACGTGACAAGGGTTCTGGCACGTGACAAGGGTTCTGGCACGTGACAGCGATTAACACAAGTGCCTACATTTCCATACAGTGAACTCTTTGATTTTCACGGTTACTACAATGGTTTGATACCAGTTAATGCTTGCCCCCCATCAGCGGCCGATTCTATCTGAGTATGCGGATGTCACATTACCTGGGCCTCCTGAAGTCCTATACAGCAACATGGCTAATAGACAGGTTACACTTTACCTTTTTGATGAACATCATGAATAATAAACTCTCAAATTTGATCCCTCCTCTGTATCATAGCTGAAAGTCTACCCCACAAAACAGCTTTTTATTATCTGATTCTGACCTTATTTTCAACAGGACAACACCCCTGAGGAAGATCCAGTGTACGCTCAAGTTGACCTGAAAAACCGAACATTGGTAAGTTCACTGAGTAATCCCAGTAATAAAGCATAGTACATAAACATGTATGATAATATGGCATGATAATATAACATTTTAGTTGTTTGCTTTAGTAGATAAATACATTTTACCGTCTTGTTCTGCCAACATCATCCGGCTCTTTTACCATTTTGTTCTTTATTCTCATAAGATACCGTAGCACAAATCCTGAAATACTAACGTCAGCAACGGGTTGGGGGATTAGAACCTTGAAGTGTTACCGCACAGTATGGTAGCTTATCTGACCTGAACAGAACCCTCCACATGGGAATATAATCAGTACTGCTACTGCAGCTGCGACTCAGCATGTAATTTGCTGTCAAGTATCTCACTTTCTGCGTTAATGACACACCCTTAAACTACCTGAGCACCAAACATTGACAAAATCAGATAATTAAGTCGTTGAAGCCACAATTAAGGAGACATTGTTCAACAATCCAAAAACGCAAAGATATCTTCCCCCCACCGCGCCGGAATGTAGCAAACATTTTAGTTTATGTTTATTGCTTTTAGCCGCAGCGGAGAGTTGAAGAAGAGGAGGATCTACCACCTGATGTCCCTGTGTACGGAACTATAGGACAACTAACGGTTAGTTTATAGCACTGTGATACACTGTGATACACTGTGATACACTGTGACACACTGTGATACACTGTGATACACTGTGACACACTGTGATACACTGTGATACACTGTGACACACTATGAACAAAATATTTGTAATTTTTGGTTATGGTCCCTATCATTAAGAGTACAAGAAAACAAAAATTGAAATTACGTTTTGAGCAGGGCCATAATTGCACTGATCACAGATCACTGATCTGCAAGGTGCCTGATAGTTGATAAATTTATTTATTAAAGCAAGCTTCTAGTTTCGGGATAGCCTGTATCAGGCAACGCCCGATACTAATGCTTGTACAGACCTACACAAGTGCAAATAAGTAGGTAAATATTTCATGCTAGGTATTTGGCACCCATTACGTTAACAGACAGATAGTTGACAGTGGCGTAACGAAGGGCCCGCCAGGCAACGTTACGACACTAATAGTTGATACAGCGTAACAATAAATATATTCAATCAACGGTGTCCAATAATTCCACGGGTATCTACTATCTAGAAGTGCTTCTATACGTTAGTACAAAATTTTAACTCAAAAAGTCCAGGGGGATTTGTCCCTGAATTATCCCCCCAAGTTCGAAAACGGAATTACGGCCCTGATTTTGAGCACTTTGTTCGAGCTCCATAGGTAAGTTTGTTCCGGTTTTTACGTAAGGATACGGTTATATAAGCGGCGGGGTAATGCGGAACTTAAATATATAAATACATAGATATAGGAACATAGAAGAACGATAGTCATGTGGCGTGGGGCAACTTTTGGCACATAGAGTCACGTTTATGTGACGCGCGGTGATATTTTAAAGACCAAATCGGAGCACGCGGTCTGTTTCGTCAACATATATTAATAAGACGCGCGCGTCTTTTTTTTACTTCCTATCTTAACTTGCGACCGAAAAGGAAAATTCCCGAATTCTGGCCACGTGTATTTTCTTGAGAATAGCTGCAGTTTCAACACTGAACACACTACACCACTAAAATCATTTCTTATCGGTGACCCTATGACCTGGGCCTGACTAACACTTGAAACGAAGCTAACACGAAGGTCGGAGTATATATTATATATCTGTATGTATATATACATACAGATGTACTATTGCTAACTGCTATTTGCCGTGACTAGGCAGCCGGCAGGGGGATCGTTCACATATTCGGTCACAGAATTTCTGTAAACCAGATATTGGTTATTTCAGAAAGAATCTGGCACTATCCGTCGCGGAGTAGAGTCCGCGGCGGAGCCGCCGGACTCCGAGCGGTATCCGGCGGTGCTCCGCCAAAAATAAAATGTATTTACACTGGACTCGAGTACATTTTGGCGGACTCCGAGCGGAGCCGAGCGGACTCCGAGCGGACTTTAAAGTCCGCCGCGGACTCCGAGCGGCTCCGAGCGGCTGTCACGTGACAAATTTAGCCGAGGGTCGGAAGTCGGAGGTCGGAAGTCAGTGGACTCTGTTGGAGTCCGGCGGACTCCGAGCGGAGTCCGCCGAGCTGGCGGACTCCGCCAAGCTCCGCCGGACTCCGCCGGATTCAAGTCTGGCGGAGAGGTCCGGCGGAGTCCGCCAAGCACTCCGCCGGAGTCCGCGGCGGACCGGAGTCCGCCTAGTGGCTTAGTCCGCGGCGGACACTCCGCCGAGCCGCCGCGGAGCCGCTCGGAGTCCGCGGCGGACTTTAAAGTCCGCTCGGAGTCCGCTCGGCTCCGCTCGGAGTCCGCCAAAATGTACTCGAGTCCAGTGTAAATACATTTTGGCGGAGCACCGCCGGAGTCCGCTCGGAGTCCGGCGGCTCCGCCGGAGTCCGCTCGGAGTCCGCTCGGAGTCCGGCGGCTCCGCCGCGGACTCTACTCCGCGACGGATAGTGCCGAGCTGGAGATCATCAATTTAAATTGTGGAAATTATTGACGAAGTTATGACACTCGTTTTGACTTTTGTTGTTTCTCATTATCAAGCCGCTGCATAAAATGGTAAACATTTTAGTTAGGACAAAAATTTGAGCCATCTACCATAGATGGCTAAAATTTTTGTGATGTATGCTATAAAAATCTATGCGAGTAAAATCTATGTAACTTTCTTGATGTCATATCTTACCCATCATTTCCATCAAAAGTCTTGCACTAGATGAGTTATATATAACCTTTTTTAAATTCTTCAAATTTTTGCCCACTTTCACCCATAAAACAACGAGAAATTTGGATTTGGAGACGGGTGAAACCCCCCCCCCCCCCCCCCCCCCCCCTCGTCATTTTTATATTACTCGCGATTTCAGGGACGTAGATATATATTATATCTGTGATCGACCAACTAGATCGGATTGCTGCTACTAAGCTTTGGTATAGCGTTCACTTTCATTTGCATATTGTGCACGTGCATATTATAATAAATCAGCTTTTGAGTGAGCCACATGTTGCGTTAGGTAAAGATAGTTGGTACTCTGTGCAGTACTCTCTGCATGTGCAATGCTGCATGGCGCGCGGGTTATATAGTGACAGTGCATACGATATAATTGTACAGGTTGCAGTTCGCTCGTGGAATGCACTCTGCAGGTGCATACATTCTACATTTGTAATGCTACATGCGGATGTGGCGCATGTTATCGCAACTATCAACTATATCAACTGCAACTTCCGTGATAACAATTATCCCAGGATGTCTGTTGTTACTGAGTGCAGTACACCAGTTATAGTGTTAAGCTGTTTAATAGTTTTATGGTGGTGACTGGTGGGCTATAATACTTTATACTGGTGGCATGTTCGATACCCATCTTGCTAACATTTTAAAGTTTTATACTATAGTGATGTAATAATAATATGTATCAGCCACGAACTTTTCAGTTTCATAACCATATTCCTAAACTTCTTATTATTTCAGGAACCCGACATTCCTGACTTTGAAGATGAGGACCCTTACGCCACGGTTGAATTTGTTCCCAAATCCAAGCGAAAACCTCCTCGCCCCAAACCGAAAGAGAACGCTAGCGAGGGTGTTTATGCTACTATCACAGATATCAAGGAAAATCTTTAACAGGGATTGTATTCGTGTAATGAATGAAATAGTTGAGTGTTGCTAGATTAGTTAGTTAAAGCAATGTGAGTCAATGAATATGAAATCCGCAGAATGGACAAGGAATGTAAAGTTGGGAAGAAATGTCGTATATTGTACATTGTACATACTATAAAGTAACTGATAGACTGAATTTGTGAAATTTTCGCTGTAAAAAGAATGTGTTTTTGACTTGATGATGATGTCAGATATCTTATTAAATGGTGTTTAAAAAAGCTAATCTGTTATTTTAAACTATTCAGATACTTAGCTGAATTAAAGTTGGCCTGCCTTAAAATTTACTGTAATTTAACAGAATTTCCACTTTAAGAAACTTGGTATGTCACTTCAGTGACTCACTTGCCAGCGAATTTAAACGACTGATAATAAATATTTCTAATTATAAGGATTTTTGTTCACAAACTCAAATTTGTGTAACGATGCCTCCTTTTTCAAGAAGTTCACCTAGTTTGAAATTTCTAAAATATTTGTATGTAAGGTATCGTCCAACAATAAACAGTTTACACGGTTTTACTGTTGCTTAATGCTTTAAGTTTAATGATAAGAGCTTTATCTTTTACATCGATTAAGGGCTGTGACTTGGAGAAGCCCCTTTAATTTTATAATTTTTTTAATGCAGAATTTGATCAGATGCATACTTATTTTGACAGTATTATTTTCGTGATTGATGGGACACTTTAAATTCAGACCCGCGGCGCGTAAATAATTTTTATTTACACATGATTTCACATTTTAAACAATAATGCTCTGACTTGCGGTGGCATCTACACCATACACATTAATCCATCGATTTTTCATATCAGACTATGGTGAAAGTTTAGCTACAAATGAATGTACTGGTAATTTCCTAATATTTTAATTCGTTCAGTTCACGGTTCCATTATTTAGACCATGAATAAAAATAAATATCTTGTGTTATTCCTTTTACTTGTAGGTTTATAACTTGACGGATGTTACTCGTCTATGGTATAAATTTCTTCGAAGTAGCGCGCGCCGCTTTCTTCTCGAAATGGCCCGACGGCAAGTGCTACGAAGTAGCGCGCGCCGGGCCAGACCATTAACAATAGGGGGTGCACGATAAAAATAAACTTGCTCGGATTTTAAAATTTTTTGTACCACTGTTTTCTAGAGACTGTGAGAATTTTCACAATACCAAATTTGTCATACCTTTTTGGAAAGATCAGTGAGTATTGCCTAAGTGCCATATTTGATGGTGCGCGGCTTTTGGAGCAAAATTAGCTCATAGCTGTAAAAGTCGCGTAATTTGACCAAATTCGTCCAAATTTGACCATTTTTGTCGTATTATTCGGATATATCTTCAGTTCCTTACATGAGATCATTCTGGAAATTGGCGACGACCTTCCAATAGGGCTTTCACAACTGTCCGAAAAATTTGGTGGATATCGGAGTTGATATAGTGATCAAAATGGAGCAAAATACGCTGCTTTTAGCTGTAACATAATGTCTGATGGTTGGATATGCTTTAAATTTTTCGGACACTTTCCTTGTAAGTCTATGAGTAAGCTTACCAATTTTTGTTGTAATTGGAGGTCGGGAAGGATACTCAATATCTATTTGTTTGAAGAAAATTGTGCTGGCCGAAATCAGCGCTAAAAAACCATCCTACAGTCGGCACGCGCGGCTCACTGTCGATGGCGCACTACCTATTAACAATGGTCAAGTTTATAACTTACCAAGATGCGCTCTGAGTTGGACTCTTCGACGCGCTCTTGGAAACAAATTATATTTGAAACAAATATTTTACGAGTATCACCAGTTAAGTTAACATCAACTTTGATATCTACCAACTATTATTCGGAAAGTTTTTAATTTTAAAGTACAATTAGAAGCTCCTTGTAAATGTTCAAAATGATCCCATTTTGGGAACCGAAAATCATATGATGACATTGACCATTGTTAATGGTCTGGCCGGCCGGCGCGCTACTTTTTAAGAAATTAAAAAGCGGAGCGCGCAAATTTAGACGAGTAACATTCGTCAAATGATGAAAAAATGTTATTCCGCCGCGTGTGTTATCAGTTATTTCGCTTGTCATGATGTGGTCTACTCTGAATAAATTGCAAAAGAATTTTACTCGATTCATGAAGTTTGAAAGAAGTTACAGCAATGCGCGCAATTTGAGGAGCTAGTGTGCTTTTATGCATTGTGTTTTGGCGTTGTAGCGCGATGCACTACTGTGTACTGGGTCGCGCCGCGCATCAAATAATTCGTCTCTTCGGTAGATCGGCGAAATGGCGGAAATGCACCACTGTGCCTCACCGAGCTGCAAAGGATTGACATAGTGAATCAAGTTTTGGCGGAGATAACTGCGTCTTTTATTGACATAAGTGGCATAAAGTGGCATACTTCAAAGTGGCATACGTTGCATGCCACTTTTCGCGCGCGAAGCTTGCGCCGCCAAAGGCTTTTACTATTGTGTTTATGTGCGCTTTAATAGCAACTACTTTTTTAGATTTAAAAAGCAAAAAGGTGTCATGTCAGGCCTAGGTTAAAGGTGTCATGAATCTTCACCTAACAATGTCACATGTTGTCATACATTGTATGACCCGCACGTGTTACGTGCGCGGCTCCCCTTACCTGGCCTGGGGACCTCAGGCTATTATGTTCATATTGATGAAAATCTTTTAAAAATAACTGGCTACAATGAGCATTTTAATAACAATAAATAGTAGAGATCAAAAACTTTAATTTCCAATAGAGAAATTTATAGAAACACACCTAACAAATTTTACCCTGCTAATAGCTATTAAAAAAAACATTAATAGTTTCGTATGAAAATTATGATCTAAACAATTACTACCCTTCAAGAATTGATAAAAATGTTTATGTAACAAAATATTTGACTTTACCAGTCTCTTGACGTTTCACAATGAAACTGAGGTTGAAGATGCAGTTACAAAAGGCCACTGGTTCTTAATGGTTACTGAAACAAACGTTATCCAAAATACAAGTTTTAAAGCAGTCCATATCTGCTTTCCTGTGAACTGAACAGTTCAAATAGAAAAACTCATTCCCTTGTTATTACAACAATATTTAGTTTAAAGGTGATTGTTTTCAAATAAACATAGTCCAATAACACTATACTACACTTCAATATGCTTGGTATTTAATCCTTTATCATAATAGTAGCAAAATTAGCAAAATTAAATGCTATAATAAAGCCTTATCTTTTCGAAAGATTTATCTTCCGCTTAAGATTTAACCCCTCGCTTTCTACAATTTTAACACACACACTTATAAATATATCGTCCCTTGAACAGTTCAATATGATGGAGCCCTGCTCAGTTGCTAGATCGACTATGGGCCTACCGCTGTTGCACAGGGTGATGATTCGTTCCGCTTGACATTGTAGATTTGTGTCCACAAGCTCACAACTTGATAGTAGGTGCAGTGCTGTTTGCTCATCCGAGCCACAGATGCACAGCGGAGAGGCCGCTGCTCTGTCAACTCTGAAGAGAAACGAGTTCAGTAGATTGTTCTTGTACATGAGACTCATAACCAATACTTCCACTTCGCGGCTCACTCCAAAGGGGATGGGAAGGGGGTTGCAGGAGACTCTTGGAATATCAGACCATCCTTCCATAAGTAGTAGGTTTTGTAGACTTTCTTGCCAAAGTAGCTCTGTGAATTGCTGTATCATTCCCTTGGTGTACTTGTAAGTCTTTGGGGATAGTAGCAGAATGTGGTCCAGGTTTCTGTGGCTGATTTCACCGAGGTCACAGGCCTGAACTTCTGTGTTAAAATGTTCTGCTTTCCATTGTAGGAATTTCTGCACCTCTCGGAGATGACAGAGCACTGTTGGGTTCTTTTCATTTAGCTGAGTTTTCACAAAGTCATAGTGAATGTCATTTGAGTCATGGAGAACCTTGAGGTAGTGTTTGATCGAGATTATTCTTCCCAAAGTTTGGAGTGGTGGCACACCCAGAATGACTTCAAGAATGGCCCCATGGACGTTGAAAACAGCTCCAACTGCAGCTTTAGACACTCTGTACCATAGTTTGTTTATGTCTGACATATTTGAATTGTTCATCCATATTGTAGAACCATAAAACAAGGTCGAGAACAGAATTGTTTTGGTCACTCTCACTATAACTGCTTGGTTCATGCCCCAGTTTCTGTTTGCATAACGGCTCGTACAAACCCAGCGGTATACTAGATTGTTGTATACATACTTGCTATGCTGTTTGAAGGTTAACTTACTGTCCAAAATGACACCAAGAACCCTTGTCTGATCCGTTAACTGAATTGTTTTCCCTCCAAGGTTGAATGAAGTCGGGACTCCAGCATGATCATAGCAGTTGAAGCATATAATTTCAGTCTTATTTTTGTTGCAGTTAATAACCATGCGCCAACAGGAGGTCCAATATTCAATGCTGTCCATAGCCAGGTTGAGATAGAAAAGGCACTCTTCCAAGTCTCTACCAACCACTTTCACAGTACCATCATCAGCGAATTTTAACACACTTATTTGTTGGTACACTGAACAGACTGCCTCAATATCCATAATGTAGAATTTGAACAAAATAGGAGACAGCACAGATCCTTGTGGTAACCCATAGTCCAAGCAGTCCCTAACAGGGCCAAGGAATCCATTTATTAATAGGCACACTGTGCGACCAAATAGAAAACTGTCTATAGTTTTTAGGTAACAGCCATGAACACCAGCTCTCCAGAGCTTAACAATTAGACCTTTCTTCCAGACGGAATCAAATGCCTTTTCGAAGTCGATAAACAAGCAAAGTACCGTAAGCTTCTTTATAATATCACCTTTAATACCAACAGTCAGTCGATTGAGGTATCTAATAGTATTCTTGCCTTTTGAGAATCCTTCCTGATTTACATCCGTAAGTCCCACTTTCATAAGATATATATCAAGTCGTCGTGCCAGGATTCGTTCAAACAGTTTCCCTACATATGAAGATATTGAAATGGGCCTGTATGCACCTGCTTGGGAGTATGATGACTTTCCGTCTTTTTTGAGAAACACAATCTTAGAATCGTTCCACAGCCAGAGCCCATTTCGCAGGCAGAGCGTAAAAAGCTTGCTTAGTGCATGAATTGCAATCGGACCTAGTTTCTTTAGCATAGACTGATGCACTTCGTGGTTATCAAAACTAGCGGCTGTTGATTGAATGCCTTTCAGAGTAGCAGAGACCTCCCATGGTGTAACAGGGCAATAAAGGGTGGAGCTGTTGGTAAACTTATCTGCCATTGCCTCAGTTGCACTGGGTTGAAAGTTTCTATATTTTATGTCATCATACAGTTTGTTTATATCCTGAAAGAAAGCATCATCGAATTTATCGATATTATTTTCAATGTGTTTAGCCTGGAAAAATGTTTCAATAAACATAAACCGAATAGAGATTAGGCGGAATGACAGGCTGAGCGTGGCCCAGTAAGGCTCCCCCTGTACCGTGGAAAATTTCCACTATAGTGAAACGACGATGGGGGTCACGACGTGATACAAGTCACATATATGTGCTTTCGCGCGCCACTGCAGGCGCGCTTGTTTCACCGGGTGCGCGGGTGTGCGCCACTGCAAGTGCAACGGCTCTGGATATTGATTGACGATGTCAACCCATCGAGATCGTATCAGCTAGTATCATGAGCCTTTTTTGACTGGTAGCCTTTAAATTAGGCAAAAGCTGTCATGTCGTTGCTTGAATATTTGTGTAATTGTGCCATGTTCAACTACATCTTTAAATGCCCTTTAAATGCCCTTTTTAATTAATTCTGTATATTGACTCACATCAACCAACTTGTATTTGACTTAATGACAATGAGAATGGTGCTTTTCGCATCATGTTTTCTACAGGGTGGCTTTGATGTTTAATAATGATATTGAGTGATTGTATTTCGTTGACCGTTGTTCCATATAGATATAATTGTGATAAAAGTTTTGGCTACGTTGCCCCACCTAACATTCACAGGTTTATTACGGGAAGCATCCTGCAACACAGTAAAAGCACCATTTTAAATATATCTACATTAAGGCCCCCTTAAATTATTTAAAGGCAATTAAAAAATCCCATGTCAGTTAAATTACTAAATTAGTTAATAAATAAATACATATTGAATTAATTTCATCTAACCTGATTTGATTTAAATTGCTTGGTCTCTGTTGGTCTGACTAGAGTGACAACTAAGATTGGAGATACAGTAATTCATATTTTTGGAGCTGTGCGTGCTGTTAGATCATCAGGCAGCAGGATATAAATTTGATTCTAATTCTAATCCTAATTCTAATGTATAGTCTACTCGAGGTGCTTTTTCTCGAAATTGTTGAACTTTCCTTTTTTTATTTAGTCGCAAAGTTTTGTCACAGGTTGAAGCCTGAAGGTCCGGGTTTGTGTAGTGTAACTTTGTTACACTACACAAAACGAAAACGACACTAAACGCAGCATTAATATTGCCAAGTTACTATACAGCTAAGGTATCGTTTAAGATCAACTTAATAACACCAGAATGTGTGTGTGTCTGTGTGTGTGTCTGTGTGTGTGTCTGTGTGTAATTTCCGAACGGTTATACAAAAAAAACGGTAATAGTTACGGGACTGGTTTTTTCGGTATAGTGCCGACAAAACTCTGACGAAGCCAATAAGCAAATTTTATAAAAATCGGCCGGTGGTAAGTGGTTTAATTGATGGTTTTGTACCACAAAATATGTTACATAAAATGGCTTGAGAAGAACGGCAAGAGTTACGGGGCTAGCTCTCTCTCTCTCTCTGCATATGTAGCGTATATATTACATGGCGTATATATTACATGGTCATATAATACTATAAACTTATTAGGGGAGGGAGTGCTCAAACGGTCTGTTTGGACTGTAGAGAGAGTTCATACTTTCATACGACAATGTAATGCATGTTCACAAATATGATAGGCTGGTGTGGTGCATGGTGTTAAGGGTTAATTTCTATTGATTATTGATTAAGAATTACTATCTTTTAAGCATACTATTGGATACGTGAGGGCACTCCGAATAGAATTGCTCGCCTAATCCGGGTTTTGACTCAGCGGGTAATTACTCCTACCCTTTTTAACTGCGGCAGTGAAATCCCGGCCGTAGGCCGGGTTACACTAGTAACTAAATAATCTACTCAATACAGTGCCCATGTCTTAGCGGCCATACTCAAAAACCTTTCTATCCTCGTCAGATCAAAACCTTACAACAAACACCGGTAGATCATAAAATGAACAACAACAAAAAACATCCAAATAACACACAAAGACCACTAACAGTAGCCCAACCAAGGATTTAACTGGACTTTCAAGTATTTCTTTGACTTACTTTTGTGTACTGTAACTTTAGTCTTTATTACATGATGCTTTTAGAATTAAAATTTTCTTTCCTCAGCTCAGTGTATAGTGAATTAGGGCTGATTTAACTGTTAATTGCATAACTGTTTCACTGTTGTATGTTACCAATTAATACTCCATTGTTCGTTACCTATTTTCATCTAACAAGGTTAATGCACCTCTAGATGAAGTTTTTTATGGCAAGTTATCAATTTCTGGCAGTTTTCTACCTCTCTAATCAGTAGAATGTGACTGTGCAGATGAAGCTTCTTGTGGTATGTGCTCCACTGGAATCAGTTGGATTACGAAAATATCACCTGTGTAACTAATGGCCCGAAGTAACCATAATAGGGAAGATTCCAATCCTGATGTAACGAATGGATTTCCCTGCCACGAAAATGGCATAACCTTGTGTTCACATGCATCTAAACGTAAAAGACTTCAAAAGCCTAAGATTATCAAGGAAAATGATTCTGCCCAAATAGTTGTCGAGAAACTGCTAAAAACAGAGAATTGTGTAAATGGTGGTAAAAAACCTCAAACAAAGCCCTGTAGAAGATCAGAACGAAAGATAATACCAAGCAGTTTGTGGGACAATGCAGTAATAAATCCTTTCTTTGAGAGGAAAAGAAGAAAGCTCACTGAATCTCCAATTAAATCACCTCCTAATTTAAATGGAAGCACCTCCAGCGATAAAGACAACAAGATTGCAGAGAACAACCCAAAAAGTAACGGGGTTTCTGCTCACAACGGATCAGAACTATTACCAGACAAGTCCTTGGATACTGAACTCAATAATTCAGAGCAAGACTCTGCGGCCTCTCAGTCAGAAGTTTCAAGTAGTAAAGAACTTGGGCCTGGTATGGTGAAAAAGGTGCCAAAAAGCCCCTTTGATAAGAACAGTGATTCAAGTCAGGACAGCCTGGCAGCTGAAACTCAAAGACACGTCAGATTACGGAGGTCTAGTAGGAAGCATAGTTCATCAATCAGCAGCATTTCAGATTCAAAATACACAATCAAACAAGAACTTGTACTGAAAATAAATGCTCCTGATCTCGTTGATGTTGGAGTTGATCAAGCATTAGAGTCAAAAAGTGAAGAAGTAGAAATGGATGTGCAAAGTGAATCAACTGATTGTAAAGATGAATCAATACTGTGTGATGAGAAAACATTACCACTTCAAAATGGCAATTGTAATGAACATGAAACAGAGTTGGAACATGATGAAGACAGCAAAGGAACTGTGATGGAACAAGTAGCTCATGCAGAGAAAGATGTTAGTCCTGAAAAAATTGTGACAAACAAAAAGATGAGTCCCTTGAGAAAGGTGATTAACAGCAAGGTCAGCCCAGTAAAGGAGTTAGTCAACATGAAAATAAGCCCCGCTAAAGTATCTAACCTTCCATATCAACACGTTTCAGGATGTGAGGAGCATTACAAATCAGTAGATGACGAGATTGAGATAAAAACACCTGTCACTGATCTCTCAGAACCTGTACCTGCCTTAACCTCAAACTCTGAGTTTGTGAAATATTCAGATGTCAAAATGAGGCCTCCAGAAGACAAAGCTGACATCTCAGATAATGAACTGAAAACTCCAGACAGTGATGTCAATCATTTGGATGATGAGCTTAAGATACCTGATCACATGTTATTTGAGTCTGATGACAGAGTTTATGTTGATTCTCTGGGGAGACGAGGAAAGAAAAGAGGAAGACGCTCACGTCAAATCAAGGCAGCGTTGGACCGTTCCGAGTCAGAAGAGAGCGCCTCAGCTGGTCCAATAACCTCTGGTATTTCTGGGCCAGAAACTCGTGATAAAACCAAAACTCCTGACAATGAGATCACCATTTCCAAAGACGATATCAACTCTAAGGAGGCATTGCAATTGATTGATGGGTCGTCTTTCCAAAGATTTTACAAGATGAGAACAAGGAGACAAAACTCCTCCAATGAGCAGACACCAGGTATGTGCTTGAGCAGTTTAATAAACAATTTGAGTTTCACTCTCGATTGTTTACTTTTCAGTTTTCATACCGTACCTTCTTGTTTAATCTTATTCTATTCTAAAGTCAACAAATCTACCTATATATTCATCATCATTCAGCAGAAGTTTTCATCCTCTGATTATCGACTGTATTGAACACATTAAACCATAAAATAACATTTCCCAGGTACCTCACCAGTGCCCAACCCCACTCCTAGTACCACGCCTCTTGTAAAGAGAAGATCTTCGTCCCGCAGTAATAGCAGTAACAGTAAAAACAGTGAGGAGACACCTGCTGTTTCTGGTGATGCGAAGAAGCGGCCGAAACATGGTATGTGTTTTATAATGGTTTATAATGTTAGATCTATTGTACTGCAGTTATGTGTGATTATTTTTCTGCAACCAATGTAAAATAGCAGACAGGGCAGCTTCTGAACTTTGTATGTTGCCATGACCACCATAGCAAACACAATCAATTTCCTATATGAACAGACGTAAATTTGGGTAATTTTACTTACGAATCCTTGGTTCTGTTTCATAATGTTGCCTTCCATCATTCTAAAATTATTAGCTTGATTTTCCTTTAAGACAATTAGCCTTGCTCATTTATGAACACTGCTTTTGAATTAAAATTCAAAGGCAGTGTTTATTCGGGTTTATTAAGGAGCAAGGCTAATCATATCCTCTAATTGCCATATTTTACTAAATTTGGTTGTTTTCATATTTCCAGTTTGCTCGAAAAATTCGAAAAGGACTGAAGTAAACGAATTGTTGAATTGAGTGCAGAGTGATTAAAAATTAAATCATTAGTAGAAAACTTGATCAGTTGTTGTCATAATATCTTAACATCGGGAATAAATGTCGCGAAAACAAGATTACCGGAAATTCACGTCAAAAAATCGTACTTCGTGAAACTTTCCGCCGTAACACTTTTGTTAATTTTATTGATTTTTTCGATGGTGTTTATATACTTTTAAATGTGCTTTTGATGCTGCTCTGTGATTTTTGATTTCTACATTTATGACGATACATTTTTTGATCTGATGTTAAGGTACATGTCTACACCACAGATATTCAATTATAAATAACAAGTTTATTAAAATTCTACAATTTCAGTAAAGCCGGATATTCTGTGTAGTTTCTGTTTGCAGACGGAAGATGAAAGGGGAGAGGAAATGATATCTTGTTGGTAAGAACTGTTTTAAATCCAACTTAGTTTTATTAACTTATCTTGTAAAAATCCCATCAGTCATTATATCAATTGAAATTAAGACTTGTTCTGATGTTGATCTGTTCAAAACATTATTAAAAACTCACCTGTTTAAGAAAAGTTATGGCATGAGCGATTAATTGACAATATAACTTTATGTTTTTTGCTTAAACTGTTTAGGATGCAACCTAATGTCATGATCTTTTTGAACTTATTAGCAATTAGACTGTTAGCTCGCTTCATAAGCATGTCATCTTCGTTCCAAAACTTTTTATGTCCTATGCATACACTCCTTGATAGTTATCTTGATCTAGTATCTTTGTTTCACACAATAGAGCATAAGTTTTGTGGTTTATCCACTGGGCTTAGAGTTTGTGTTTAAGCTACCAAATTTTATTGTTATTATTATCATAAGATCGACTGTATTTACGTAAGCAATTGTTCTTCTTATAACTTTATAATGCAGTACAGTAATGATTGAGAACAAGTTGTGCTACGGCTGCTTTAAGATGAAACTTTACGTGTATATATTATGGTTTCACGCATGATATTGATTATTGATGGCATGTTACAAACAGCAAATTTGTAAAATATCACACTGCACCAATGCTCCAATTCCCACCGTACACGATCGTAACTACAGCTTATATTACCACTGAAATACCGCTGAAATGAGTAAAAATATCCGTTACACCAGCACAGACAGGGCCCTCAGGGACCAATCTCAGTACTTGTTAAACTTCATTAAGTGTCATACCTTCTTATTTATAGAGTTTACATCATTAGTCTGGATCTATTGAACTGTGTTGTCCGGTCTCTGTCAGACTGAACATACCAGCTGTGTTCTCAAAGCTCGAGTTGAAATTTTGACCCATGTTCCATTTGCATTTTGATCATTCCTTAATATCTCTTCAGCTCTCACAACAACTTATACTATTATTACTCGTAACGTGAAATAAAGAAGCCAAAATTAACGAATATTTGAGTTCACTCAGAATGCTGGCTAGCCAGTAGCCACCTTGTTTTGCCCAGCTGATAAGTAATCACGACCTAACACAGCCTTTTAGTGTAGTATAGTATAGCTCTATGTTCACAGTACACTACAATGCAGATTTACTGATGGGGTATCCTGCCTAAGAAGATTCTTTATCTTTGGCAGGCCCCCTGGCCCTGCTCATTTAACCCACAATCAGATGTGAGATGTGTCATTTCGCATAGATCCAATGGATCCTTAGGCACTCCCTAGACTTATAAAACAACCTCTCAAACACTCTCTAACCCCATTCTCTCCCCAGTTTATGCGGAGCAAGTGGACATCCCTCATGTCTACAATTCAGTGTAGCTCTGACACAGCGTGTTAAACTCTACCAGTGGGAGTGCATTGAGTGCAAGAAATGTGAACTGTGCAGGTTGGTCTTACATTGTACATTATCTACAATTGTGTGTGTGTCATACACAAAGAGAATTAATGTCTGGATATACACATTATCTGACTGTGTATAGTAGTTGTCGGTATAATTGAGTACGGAGAATTAATCAGTCTGTATTCTAGAAGTCTCTACACAAATCTTACCAACTTGCTCTGTATAAATCATGAGCTGCAACAATGTAACCTCGAGTAGTACATATTAATGATGCTCTCTCTGTCTCTCTCTCTCTCTAGAGTACATATTGTTACGCTTAACTTCAAATATATTTCAAGACGGGATATTTGATTGCTTTTTGTCTCTCTTGTAGTGTATATTACGTTATTGTATAGTAGTATTTATATGTGGACACTTTTCTGACTATTAAATCTTGCCAGGCAGTGATATTAGGAGAAAATTACCATGTTATTAACCTATTTAAAATATAAATAACTATCACCCTGTCAGAAACTCTGGTGATGACGCTATAAATAACTATCACCCTGTCAGGAACTCTGGTGATGATGCTATTAATAACTATCACCCTGTCAGGAACTCTGGTGATGATGCTATAAATAACTGTCACCCTGTCAGGAACTCTGGTGATGACGCTATAAATAACTATCACCCTGTCAGGAACTCTGGTGATGATGCTATAAATAACTATCACCCTGTCAGGAACTCTGGTGATGATGCTATAAATAACTATCACCCTGTCAGGAACTCTGGTGATGATGCTATAAATAACTATCACCCTGTCAGGAACTCTGGTGATGATGCTATAAATAACTATCACCCTGTCAGGAACTCTGGTGATGATGCTATAAATAACTATCACCCTGTCAGGAACTCTGGTGATGATGCTATAAATAACTATCACCCTGTCAGGAACTCTGGTGATGACGCTATAAATAACTATCACCCTGTCAGGAACTCTGGTGATGACGCTATAAATAACTATCACCCTGTCAGGAACTCTGGTGATGATGCTATAAATAACTATCACCCTGTCAGGAACTCTGGTGATGACGCTATAGATAACTATCACCCTGTCAGGAACTCTGGTGATGATGCTATAAATAACTATCACCCTGTCAGGAACTCTGGTGATGATGCTATAAATAAATATCACCCTGCCAGGAACTCTGGTGATGACGCTATAAATAACTATCACCCTGTCAGGAACTCTGGTGATGATGCTATAAATAACTATCACCCTGTCAGGAACTCTGGTGATGACGCTATAAATAACTATCACCCTGTCAGGAACTCTGGTGATGACGCTATAAATAACTATCACCCTGTCAGGAACTCTGGTGATGACGCCACCCTGCTCTTCTGTGATGACTGTGATAAAGGATTCCACATGAGTTGCCTCAAGCCTCCTCTTAGTGGTGAACCAGACGGACATTGGAGCTGTTTGTACTGCGTAGAGGGAAGCAACTATTGGAAAAACAAGAGCTGCAAATCCAGAATACTCGATAAATCCGTAAGTTGGAAATATGGCCTCGTATCTCTGGATTTCAGTTTGTTATTTTGTCTTTAATGCGCGTTCCCGCACGTGACAGCCATACTAATAACAATGAAAGGGCTGGGGGCTCCATTTCAGGGTGTCTGGCAGTAATAGTTGTAGTGTTTTAATGTACATAGCAAATGAAGGGTGGTTGTACTGCTCAGTGTATATAAAATGTACAAAGAGCTTCTCTAGCGAAGCGGATGTGGAGTGCCCCGCCAATTGCTTGTGTTTATTAAAGTGCTGCGCGCGTCAGATATAAAGCATATCACTGGCAGTTTGGTTGAATTTGGTAAAAAATATCTTATTGACAACATTTGCTTTTGCGCGCGCTGGTTTATCTTTGTCGCTCATTCTTCAAAACATGATATTTCTTCAGTCGAAGTTTAGATTTTGTCACTGTTCTCGATTAAAGCTTCACGTTTGTTTTCTATTTTAGCGGAAATCAAGAAAGTCTGACAAGGTATCTAAACGCAAACAACTCCTCGATGACCTGGCGATGTTTCACGAAGCACAATCCCGAGCTCAAGCAGCAATGGTTAGTTCCTGGTCATTCGTCGTAACCGTCCACAAGATCATCATTCTTTGCATATTGCCCTGAAACTTTAACCGTTTTAATAGTTGCTCAATGATGTTTGTGTTGAAAATATGTTGCACATACTTCGTCCTATGTGAGTGTCCTATGTTAACAGATCAAGGAAACTCTCAATGATTATACAATATTCATTGCTGGAGTATATAACTTATTACTAATGATTCAGTTGTCTAATTTAATTGAATTCCTCACTCGAACCGTTGGAAGTTATGTACATAACATCCCACACGTTATGACCTATCTTCTATTTAGACGGAAGAAGCCAAGTCTGTGGTGAAGCCAAAAAGCTCAAAGAAAAAGGGAACTGGGCCACATCCACCGACTATTAAAACTATTGAGCTGGGATGCTATGAGGTACTGAAAGTTTCCTGTTACTTTGTTATTCTGCTCTGATGTTCCTGTTATCAGCTCCTAAGATTATGTTGCTGGTCTTGATTTTAACTAAAAGCTGCCCCTACGATAGAGTTGCTAGTTCCTTACATCTTATTTTACCCAGATAACTGCATGGTACAGCAGCCCATATCCAGCCGAGTATGCTCAACAGTCTAAACTGTACATCTGCGAGTTTTGTCTGAAGTACATGAAAAGTGGCGTCATCGCATCCCGGCACACGGCTAAGTGTCCTGCAAGATGTCCACCTGGAGATGAGATCTACAGGAAAGAGACAATATCTGTGTTCGAAGTAGATGGCAGAAAGAACAAGGTCAGTGTAGATAAAGCGGACCTAGATAACCTGCAAACCGATCATGGTGAATTTCTATTTCTTCTTATATTGACAAATATTTAAATATTTCATTATCATAATAGACATACTAAAAGAATCATCGCATCAATAAAACTGACCTTTTTCAGACATACTGCCAGAACCTGTGCCTGCTCGCCAAACTTTTCCTCGATCACAAGACCCTGTACTACGACGTGGAGCCCTTCCTATTTTACATCCTGACTGAATACGACAGAAAGGGCTGTCACATAGTCGGCTACTTTAGTAAGGTCGGTAGCGCAGCTCTCGTAGTTTTGGTGAGAAAACATGGGTCACTCGATTCCTTGTCGTATAAGTGTGTTTATTCAAGGCTTAAAATCACTTCTGTTGTAATAGCATGTTTAAATAAATAATGGGCGATTTGGTTTCCACGGTTTTGGTTCTTCTGATGTTTTAATTTGATAGCGCGAGAAGATTTTCAAAATTAACTATATTTGAATGTTCGATGAAATATTACTAAATCGTAAATCCTAGTCGAATTTATTTTCACAAACTCTGTTTTCAGGAGAAGAACTCATTTCTAAGCTACAATGTTTCTTGCATTTTAGTACTTCCCCCTTACATGAAGAAAGGATACGGCAAGATGCTCATTGACTTCAGTAAGTCTTTGACGATTTATATCCACCTGTCATTAATACAACAACAGTGATTTTTGTACACAGTCTTAGAAGTTTGACGAACGTTGTTTCATAACAGCGTCCGTTTTAGATCTTTAATTGATCCTGGTCATCACATGATGATCTTCACATTGATCAATGTTCAGGTTATGCGTTGTCGCGGAAAGAAGGAAAGCTGGGGTCCCCAGAGAAACCCCTGTCTGACCTTGGACTCGTTTCTTATCGCAATTACTGGAAAGAGAAATTGCTCGGATATTTCATAAATTACAATGAGTCGGAAATCACCATAAAACGTGAGTAATTTCATAAGAGGCTCCAGATAAAATATGTAAATAATTGCAGTAGCTCTTCATTACCAGATTTTCCTTCTTTATCAGCAGACTTTCAATTCCCGTCGGTTTTCATTGTATTGTGAATTTTCTCACGACCACTCAATATTTCAGATATAAGTCAGACTCTGGGATTTAACCCATACGATATCGTGAGCACGTTACAAGCTTATGGTATGATAAAATACCACAAGTCAAATCACTACGTTCTGAAGAGGCCCGAGGTTAATTTCTTGATTTTTTTCTAGATACCAAACTTATGTCTTACTTTCTCTGAACTAAATTCATTGATTTTACAAATTATGATCGTTTGTCAATTGTCATGAATTAACACCATTTCTCTTAATCAACCGTCTTAATCTGTTCTAATAAAAGCCACATTTTCAGATGTTATCAGCCTTCAAAAGGAAACAAGCAGCGCACGCTGGACTTCCTTGTAGAAGTATTGACATGTCATATCTGAAGTGGACTCCACCTCACCAGAGAGACAGCAAGTGACGTCATAACTCTGCCAAGTGACGTCATAAATTAGCAAAGTGGCGTCATGGGATTAATTCACAATCTACTAGATCAAAGCAGATTAGTTCCTCGCAAGCTCCAAAAGATATCTTCAAAAACAGTGCTCTTCATTTTGAGACTTAACGTGGCGTCATCAAATCACGTGACATTATCACATGCTATTTAATGTGTAGTTAACTAAATAGGTTGGAGTACGGCTGGCCGTGTTTCTTAAAGACAGTCGAACTGAGAAACAGTTTGGCATCAGGGAGATAAGATCGCTGAGTGAAAACTTGAGTGAACTCCGGAACCTCTAGACCAGAGCTAATTCCAACGACTGACTTATAATTGTTTTTTATTTGCATTACAGCGGTGTTTCCATTTATTGTTACGACATTCAATCACTGCAAGACGCAAGTCACGGTTTGCAGTAAGCGACTTCATTGTTTGTCTCTTACAACTACAAACTTTGAGTGGTAACCTCGATTACTCAGATTAGTTGTTAAATTAGCTGGCGGTAAAGGGAATTTAAAAAGATATTTTAGTGTTCCATAATTTGTAAGCAAGAAGGGATTTTAACATTGCATTCGTAACATTACAGGAAATGAGAACTTAGTAATTTAAATAAGTACATGTGGATGGTGTTATAAGGGCAGAGGGCGTTAACTTGATATAATACAGCGTTGCCACTTGCCGGGAACAATTGTTTTGTTTTTTTTTAATTTCAAGTTAACTCGTGTAATTGTTAAAATCTCGCAAGCACCAAGAAAAATTACAGTACATTGCATAGATTACTTAAATCAGAAATGCGGCGTTACACCTTGAAATATTTACCAGATTGTTCTTTTTACTCGTTCAACCCGTGAATGAAAGCTGTGATACAACGATTTGAGTTTGGCAAATGTAATAACCAGTTGATTAATTAGGTAATATTACACTTGAAGTTTAGATATCTTAGGGATCATCGCCGTTATCTATCCAAGAAATCACAAAATGTTGATAGCGATGATCTCGCCCAACCCTGATGAGTTTATAACCTTGAACTGAAAACCGTGTTGTTTAAAATACAGTTATATATTAACTTCTTAATATGATCTTTAGTTTTACCTTTGACTGACATGTAAAAAGTTGTACCATTGCTTTACTTGGAGCACATTTGCGTGTAGCTGAATATATTTGTATAGTGTTAGAGACGTTTACGCCCTACATTATCTTGATTTGATAAGTTTAGACGTACAAACAATGTACATCGGGCAGGTTAGTTTTGACACAAGACAATAAATAATTGGTTACCAGATCGCTCGCCTCTATTTATGAATATTTAGAGCTAATGTCCAATGCTCAGAATTCAGATAGAACAACTAATGATCATAAACCTTATTTTTACTAGCAAAAAGTGCATAGCAAGCAGCAAAGTAATAAAGTTACAGCCTTCACTGTGACACGAATTTGATCACGTGTCAAAACAAACCTGACCTGTCTCATTAGGTAGCTACATTGATTATTTAAATTTATATATCCAATCACTGAAACTTAGCATCGCATATAAATATATGTTTGTTCTAGTTACTAGGACCATTTTCTTGTACTTTTGTACCATGCTGTTGTGGAAGTGTGTTTGCTTTTGTCCCGGACGCAGCAAAAATAGTCTTGAACTGTTATTTGTGCCCGTAAAATTATTTGTTATTTTCACTTATTCAGTCAATTATAATAAACTTTAATCCCTTGTTTTATTTTTATTTTAAAATTAGTCCAGAACGATAATTATCGTGATGTATCACATATCAGTATAACGAGAAAACGCTGAATTTAACACGATTTGTTATCTCAATTTGCACAAAAATTACCGCTACAATCAGGTACGTGAGAACCACGAAGTGAGCAATAAAAACAAGAACGATAAGTTTTTGACAATGTCAGTAAATCTAATAATCCCATACTCCTAAGTCAGTAAGTGGTGAATGTTGATAAAAATAAATGGTAAATATGATTAAACACTGCGCGGGAGACTGTCTAACAGATGTAGCCGACAGCCTGTCTAACAGATGTAGCCGACAGCCTGCCAGTTGACGTTCCATTGGCCCCCTCTAGCGATATCAGCTGTAGGTCCAGACTGGCCCGGATTAGAGTGTACCCCCACATACCCGAACAGGTAGACATTGAAACCGTTCCTGAGATGGTCGAAGGGGTAATTCTTTTGAGCGAGAAAAGTTGGTCTTTTATCAGTTTTAGGGATTAAAATTACTGTTCATGCTTACTAATACTATTACTAATACTGGGCGGCGCTCATCCTGTCATTCCGCTAAATCTCTATTCGGCGGCATATGTTTAAATTTTAATGTTAATGAACATATACATTAAAATATGTATAATGTATATATAGCCTGGGGTCCCCAGGTAATCTTCTGTATGAGAAAATGCAGATACTTTAATTTTTAAACGCTGGTTCAGGCGATAAGGAAAATTTAATCAGCAGCCAGGGGTCCACTAACTTGTTCGCTCCAGATGTTGAGGTTCCACTTAGCGTCGTGTGCCAGTTAGCGCCGTTTCCTGTGTTGTGTGTCATTTTTATCATTTATTTGTCAGCCCTATAAAAAATCGTCCAGAAGTGAGAAGCTAAGGCATTTATATTGTAATTCAAATTGTATATCTTATTATCAACTCTTGTTGCGACTGTTGTTTTAACTGTGGTTCTTTTTACTGTTTAACTTTAAGCGGTGGGTTCAAGGTTTTTTCAAATAAAATATCCCAACCACTGTTTCAATTTGACCGATACAGTCACTTTTGCTTTTAAAAAGTATAAAAAAGTGCATTTTCTCTCCTCAGGATCAAATTTAAACTCTAAATTATCTGCCAATAAATTTTTGGGGGTAGGAGTGAGTCCCTCCGAGATCACAATTAAAATATTCACAAACCGTCGATAAGAGCAGTTATAACGGGAGTTCCCACAAATTCACACTCCGAGATATCCACATGTGTGTTCACAAAGTAGTACGGTGCTCCCGACTGGTTCCACACAGTTGACCCTTTACCGGTGGTGCCAGCACAGACACGCGCACAGGGGTTTGGACCCTTGGGGCTGTTTAGTCGGGTAATGTAGAGGTCAGTAGCGACCACCGTGGTTAGGAGGAGGGTGAGTAGGAAGTGTCGGAACATGCTGTTTCCTGGGGGCAGCAAAGTAGAGGGTTATTACTTATTACTTATTACTTATTTGTCATACGTTGTATGACCCGCCGCGCACGAAGGTGCGCGGCTCCCCCTGTATCGTCAGGACACCTTAGTGAAACGACCGTGGGGGTCGCAACGTGATACAATTACTTATTAGTTAACTAGTAAACTGACCGAATGGTTCTGAGCTGGGTACGGTTTGTACAACCCTAGAACATTCTCTGTGAAGGTCTCACTCTCTGCTGCAGAGTCTAGAGACTAGAGTATTCCACATGCTTTTACTCAGTGGCGTAAAGCAACTGCTTATATGGTCGGAAATATCTCAAAAGCCAGTATCTGGCAGAGGCCTGTTTTCTCTATTAAGAAACATATTAGGAGCATGTCTGCCAGGCTATGGTGTGGACACGTCCTAGGCAAAGTCTGCCAAGTATATAAGCTTCTACGGAGTCAAATAAATGCAACAGATTGACAAACTAACAAAGTAATATGCGTCATGAGCACTAGCAGTAGTACTTAGTAGACTATAATACTAGCTGAACTATACTTATAATAATACCATATTATTGACTCTGATTGTAAGTGGTAAGTGCGAGAGGTTTTGGGAGAATATGATGATTAATATGTGTTCGCAGCTAGTAGTAGTAGAACTAGTACTACATTTACAGCCACAGTGCAGGGTGTACCACATAAAAAGTGGATTTTTCACTTTTATAATTTTTGACAAAATCAAACTTTACGGTTATCATGATAAAACTTAGATTATCATTTCGAACTATAGAACTTTACAAATCATATTTTTAAATTGACACAAAACTTAGCTAAAGAACACATTTTAAAGCGGCCGATGTAGAAAATAGTTTCAGTATTTATGGAAGCGTACTGCCGGCAATCTTTGTTATCGGCACCTTTAATGTTGCAAATGAAGCTTAGAGCTGAACTGACAATCCACCAGATGATAGAAAATAAACCAATCTGCAATCAGCATTCAGCATGAACGATTTCTGTCAATTAACATCTGTCACAAAAATCAACGTAGACAAAGAATTGTAACTTAGCCCATTCGCACGTAACCTACCAATAGATTATTTCTGTCCTAGTTGTGAACTGTCATAGCTGATAGCTAGCAACTCCCGCTACCTCGTTATGACATTATCATTGTTCCGAATCAACAACTAACCTAAAACAAAGAAATAATACTATATGTTTCTTGATCTAAGTTTTGTCTGCAACTTTGTCGGACGTGGTCTCTGCTTCAACCATCTGTGGTGGGCGTGGTTCTGCTGTATTGGGTAGTGCAGAGACAGGTTTTGCTGATATGATGGTGAAGGTAGCTGCTAGAGATAGGAAAACAGTAGTGATAACACCGTGAACTAGGTACCACTGACTGGATGATCCGTATTGGAGGTTTCTGTTGGGAGGGACAGTTGTTAGAACTATAAGGTGATCTACCAGTTGAGTACCACGTACCAGTGATAACATTGATAAAAATTGCAACTTTATAACTAGAATTTTGACCGAAAAAAAAAACAACAAAAAAAACAAAAACATTTTCGGTCAAAGGTCTAGTTGATTTGAAACTTTTGTAAAAGTTTTGAATCGACTAGAACTTTGACCGAAAATGTTTTAGTTTTTTGTTACTGTTACATCACGTGTTGTTGAAATAAGCACAGCCTTTAGTTTTAAAAATTATTCTCACGCATAAGCTGCCTTTTCCGTCACCCCCATGGCAATCGTAAGACCTGAATAATACATATCATTGAACTATTACAAATAATACATACAATTACAATGTATTGGCTGTAACACAATTAATAATTTTTCCATCAGCTACTAGCTAGTAGCCTGTAGTTATCAATTTCGAACATGGGTAAGTTTTAAACATGCTACCATCTACTGATAGTTGGATAATATCCGGTTGGAAGAGACAAGGACAAATGAAACATGAAGTTAGGAATGTAGGCTTATTTTCGGCGTCAACGCCATCTTCAGGCTCAAATTATTTGTTATATATGTAGTAGTGTTGAAATTATTAAAACTATGCTGCCATCTAATTCTAACCTGCTGCAATAAGTAGGACGGTTCCTAGCACCACATGTAGGGGCTTGTAGCGAACTCTTAAAGGAATGTTCAGGTTGGGGGTGAAGTCTTGGAACACTCCTAAACTTAGTAGTACCTGTGGATCAGAGGCAATGTTTAGGTTACAGTGCAAAAATCACACTTTTACATTCGTTGCTAAATTATATCTCTGTTATAGCTTAGCTTATCTTTGTTTAATTACCTTATCGGACCTTATTTCGACGGACATTAATTGAACGCTGGAGGCCTTAACGTTCATCTTAATGTCCGTTCAAATAAAGTCCGTTCATTTAAGGTCCGTCCAAGTTAAAGTCCGTTAAATTTTTTTCAAAAATTCGAACTTTTTGTCCAGAATATGACAACTATGAGAACTTTATTGTGCCGTAAGTTAACGACAGAAAGGTTCTCCTTGGTCTGCTGGAGGCACAGAAAACTCTACTAGTATATGATGTTTTCAAGGGGCACTTTGCGGAAAAAGTCAACGAAATTATGGCACTCAACTGTCAACAACATAGTTCATGAGCTAGTCCCCGCCAACATTACAAACTTGTTCCAGCCTCTAAATATATTACGGTAAATCGTGTTGCCAAGGACATTGTCTGCAGTCTGACGTTGTTATAGTTCATATTACTCAGCTCAGGGGAGGTAATGAAACAGACAGCAGTGCTAGGAAAGCTTCATGCCTTTAGTTTCCTAAAATGTTTTCTGGAAACCACTTTTCTCCGTTTCAAAAAAAATATATGGTATATGGGTTCCTAATATGGTATAATATATATTAACTGCGCACTGATTATAATTCGATACTGTAGACATGAGATTCCTGATTCATAGAGAACTAGCCTCTATATACTGCTATATACTTATACATGTTATTTGGTTTGGTTGGTTTGGTTTCAAGAGCTTATACTTGCCACGTATGTCCAGGTTCATTATAATAATGCAGGACTTCTAGGCAATGAGCTTGGTTGTGGGACACACTCAACTAGGGAAGTTGAGAGGCCTCAATCAAGTCTCATTAAAGAGATATCAACAGAGTGTGAACCACTGCCAGACTTACCTTTGATTAGAGTTTGCCAGGCTCTATAAGTGTGGCAGATAGTGTCTTCTTTGTCCTATCCTTTGTCCGTGATGCTGGTAACAAACTCTTGTTGTAGGTGATGGTGACATAAACTCATTTGCATGATTGGGTCTAGAGATGGGTCGATTGTGAAGTGTGCTATATACTTATATAAATAGGTAGTTGTGATAAATAGTACTGCTCAGTACCGTAATTATAAAACCATTATCTGAAAACTTGTCTCAACAAAGAAGATCTAAATGACATGAGGTCTAAACTGGGTCGATTAAAAGTGAGCTACAGATTAGCGGCTGGGAAAAACAAAGAGATGGAGATTAGTGATTAATACAGGTAATCAGTACAGGTGCTGAGTGAACGTATGACAGACCGTAAAATCGGAAGATTAACTGTTAATGACTAAAACACCCTAGAATTAAGTGCCACAACCATGAGGTTATAAAGTAAAGAGGGTATATATAGACTACTAGAAGATAATAAGTGGGCTGAAGCTAATAACTGGTTAACTTGTCGCAATAGAGAATGAAACATATCACAACAAAGAGGGACAAATTGTCGAGAAAAATTAAAGTATCCGGTAAAGATCACTATGCTGGGTAACTCGTGATGTAGCCACGTGTTAAGAATTCCTCGTGTAGGAGGAGGTAGAATAAATAAAGTAGTGCAGGTAATTATCACGATGCTGGGTAAACGGACAGTGAAAACAAGGAGAGAAGGGTTACTAATGGCTTAAACACTAAATGCAGACTAATGAGAGTGAAGTGCTAGGCACAGAGTAAGGGGAAATTAAACTACTAAAGATAATAAGTGGGCTGAAGATATTAACTTGAAACATGTCGCAATGGAGATTGAAACATATCACTAAAAGAGTGTGCACAATATGAGATCCGAATAAAATGAAGAATGGGGAAAACAGTAATAGTGGGATAATTATAGTGGTAAAGAGTTTACTAGAGAGTGGTCCACAAGGAGGTTACGTGGGAGAGGTTGAGGTGCATGCTGTGATGGGTGGTCAAGAGCTGTCCAGCCAATTTTATATGGCCTAAAATATACACACAAAGCCTACAATAGTGGTTAAGGAGCCGCCACACTGCACTTGGCCAGGCAAGTGAACGAGGAGAGTGCAGTACGGCAACACCAAAAGAACGTTTTGAATTACAGTTCAATGGTAGGCAGGGCTAGGTAGCAGCACTTTAATCACTGAGAAGAAGTCCGAAAGAAGGCCTAAATTAACATTGTTTTTAATGTGCACCGTAGTTGTGCTGTTATTCGATTGAATGTTTACACTGTGCAAAATGAAGTCATCTTCCAGTGCCTAGCTGTAAAAAAAAATGCTACGTGCGCGGGAGTGTGTGAACAAAAATACGGCACTAACTAGCGAGCATGAGCAAGGGAAACAGGACTCAGTCGAAAAGGAGCCCTACACTAGTGTTTGTGACACTAAGGGGAGCGCAAGCGAGAGTAAAGAGGGCTAAAATTTAAGCAAGCAAATGCGCGAGCAATAAGACTCTGCCGACTTAAGTTGTAAAATAAGTGACCAAAACAGAATCTAAAATAGAAGTATATCCATATGTTAAAACTTAGCAGGTTACCAGCTGATGAGAAGGGTGCTGATGAAAATGTAAGATGACAGATAAAAGAAAGGTGATGGCATGAGTAAAGTCATAATAAAACGTCAGCGCAGAGAAATAGTAGATGAATTTATAAAGTAAAAGCTAAAAACTTAGAAGAGGATCATGGTTAATAATTAGTTAAAGAGTGGCAGGTTACCAGCTTTAGAGAAAATGCTTAGTTGAAATGCTTTAGATTGCAATAAGACGTGAAGACGTAAGTAAAGTCATAATAGATCGTTACGTAAGTAGTAAAGTCATATTAAAACTTACGTAAGTAAAGACATATTAAAACTTAAGCGCAAAAGGAATAGCAGATGGGTTTATTAATGAAGTGATACGCCAAACCCTGATCTGACAACGTGATGTTTCCGTTACGTTGGTGTAATCGAAGTTGCGTCGGTATAATCGGAGTTGAAGTAGAGCTGAGCTGCCTTGAGTGTGCTGCTTGCTGCATGCTGGTATATCGTTTCCATCCAAGGTGTAGGGGACGGGGTCTATAACTTTATTGAACTAGCCAAAATATCAATCTCCCTAAGTCGCGCTCTCTCTCTCTCTAATTATAGAGAGAGCTGCAATTAGAGAGAGGAGAGCTGAAAATTACAATGCACGGGAAACTGCAAAACTGGAACATGTTATAGATTGCAACTGCCCTTAAGCGCTTGGTACATCTTTAATTCTATTTTAAGTCTATGTAATTATCTGCACCCGGAAATTAAAAACTGCAAAATTTTGCAGCTTCGGGAAATTAAATTACCACAATGATATCAGAGTTCAGACTACGCAATGTGTAAGTCAACGAAAATAAATCCCATGGAAAAAACGCTTTTGATGAATTGCTAATGAGAGCGGGAACTGGAAAAAAGGACAGTCAAGCAAAACCCTTGCAAATCTGATCGAAGATATTCCCTCAAAGAGTTACTCCCGGCCAAGCTCCCACACTTTAAAACACTAAATCATGTCCAGTCCTAAATAATGGTGATCAGTGCAGACCAAACAGCAAAGCCACAAAAAAAGAAAAGGGGGGACCAAGGTTGTTAAATACGTCAAATTTTCGTAAAATAATACGACGTATTCGGTTCCAATAAAGAATACGTCGTAATACGCCGTAATACGGTAATTTCTTGTCATACGTTGATTTGTATGACCCGCCGCGCACGAGGTGCTCCCCTGTATCGTCCCCCCTGTATCGTCACCATAGTGAAACGACCGTGGGGGTCGCAACGTGATACAAGTAATTTCTATGGATTGTTAATAATACGTCCACGAATACGCCATAATACGCCGTAATGCGCTGATTTGTCAAAATTAAACATTACAGTAGTGTATGTACTAAGAGCGTCAACTTGCGGGTGAGATTTTATGTCTCAAAACCCAACATATTATACATCATTGGAAAGGTCTCATTGAGTAGAGTCGTTTGGTACCAAGTATAGGGGAAATGACTGCTCCTAGCGAAAGTTATAGCCCGTCAAAGTCCAAAAATTGTCACTTCAGAAAATTGGGCGGGACATCGTGTTCTTAAACTTTTTGACAAATTTTTTTAACAGCATATTGTTTATCACAGTTTTTTATACAAGATTTGCTGTATGCCGTAATTTGTAATCCATTATTAGAGTCACAATCAATTTATTTTGTCAACAGAGTTTGAAATACTTGAAGAGACAATTGATATTCCGCGTGGTTCGCGGCGCGCTTCTTTGTCTACAAATTGTTAAATTGCGCGTTACAATTCCGAGTAACGTAGCAGAAGACGTTTCCCTGAATTTTGTTGGGGATTTTGTAGGGGATTTGACACGGATTTCAAATCCCCTAAAAATAGTTTCGAATTGTCCCTGGGAGTGGCCTGAGTGGGTCAAGACGTCGAAAATTAGTTTCTCTGGTTGTTGGGGTCAGGTACTTCCTATCTAACCACCAAATCATGTTCCAAATACCCCGGAACATAAATCTCCTACAGGGGTAAAGATTCTCATTTTTGATTTGACCTGGATTTCAGTAATTTTGGGGTGGGCGAGGCCCCTGGGAGTGGCCTGAGTGAGTCAAGATGTCGAAACTCGGTCTTTCTGATGGTTTGGGACAGGTAATAACTATTAAACATCCTAAGCATGTTCCAAATACCCCGGAACATAAATCCCATACAAGGGTAAAGATTCTCATTCTTGATTTGACTTGGATTTCAGTAATTTTGGGGTGGGCGTGGCCCCTGGGAGAGGCCTGAGTGGGTCAAGATGTCGAAACTCGGTTTTTTTAATTGTTAGGGACAAGTACTAACGGGGGGGGGGGGGGGGGGGGGGGGGGGGGGGGGGGGGGGGGGGGGGGGGGGGTACCAATGGCATAGAATGGAGACAAATGGCATAAAATTCATCAAATGGCATAGAAATTTCATGGCATAAATGGTAATTTTGTTTGGCC